TTTAACACAAAGATGCTATTTAATTAACGGAAAAGCAGAAGGTGATTAAAACAAGAGAGCTAGTTTAGTCTTTAAAACAGTCATGGCAACGGCTGGATGCTAAAATGTTTATTAGCTGTCAGAATTCAGTCAGGATTCTGAGATTAAAGCCAGAATTCTGAGATTAAAGTCAGAATTCAGAGATAAAAGGCTGAATTCTGAGATTAAAGTCAAAATGTTGATAAAAAAAAGTCTGAATTCTGAGATTAAAGTCAGAATGCTGATTAAAAAAAGTCTGAATTCTGAGATTAAAGTCAGAATGCTAATTTTAAATAAGTCAGAATTCTGGAATTAAAGTCAGTATTGTTAGAAAAAAGACAGAATTCTGAGATTGAAGTTGGAATTCTGAGATTAAAGTCAAAATTCTGAGATTAGAGTCAGAATTCTGAGATTACAATCAGAATTCTGTGGGGAAAAAAGTCAGAATTCTGAGATTAAAGTGAGAATTCTGAGATTACAATCAGGATTCTGAGAAAAAAAGGTCAGAATTCTGAGATTAAAGTCAGTATTCAGAGAGAAAAAAGTCAGAATTCTGAGATTAAAGTCAGTATTGTGAAAAAAAAAGACAGAATTCCGAGATTGAGGTTGGAATTCTGAGATTAAAGTCAAAATTCTGAGATTACAATCAGAATTCTGTGGGGAAAAAAGTCAAAATTCTGAGATTAAAGTCAGAACTGTGAGGGGAAAAAAGTCAGAATTCTAAGATCAAAGTAAGAATTCTGAGATTACAATCAGGATTCTGAGAAAAAAAGTCAGAATTCCGAGATTGAAGTTGGAATTCTGAGATTACAATCAGGATTCTGAGAAAAAAAGTCAGAATTCCGAGATTGAAGTTGGAATTCTGAGATTACAATCAGGATTCTGAGAAAAAAAGTCAGAATTCCGAGATTGAAGTTGGAATTATGAGATTAAAGTCAGTATTGTGAAAAAAAAAGACAGAATTCCGAGATTGAAGTTGGAATTCTGAGATTAAAGTCAAAATTCTGAGATTACAATCAGAATTCTGTGGGGAAAAAAGTCAAAATTCTGAGACTAAAGTCAGAACTGTGAGGGGAAAAAAGTCAGAATTCTAAGATCAAAGTAAGAATTCTGAGATTACAATCAGGATTCTGAGAAAAAAAGTCAGAATTCTGAGATTAAAGTCAGAATTCTGAATTTTTTCTCATACTGTACTGAAACAAAATGGTTCAGTGGCCCTATTCCTCTTCCGTAGAAAACTATCTAATTATTATTAATTTGTTGAATTATTTAAGTATATTTTGATCTTCTAAAATGATTTGACTTTTATTTTACAAAATCACATCCGTAACGCTCTCTGGTACATAAGTCATGCTTGACGCGTCGTTTTCAGCGAGTCCAAGGGCGGAGAGACAGTGGAGGGCGGAGACCGGGGGCTTCGATTGTCTGCAGCCGTTTCTTGGCCTCATTCTGGCACTGAGAGGACATAAAATACCGAGAAACCCCCAAAAAGTCAGAGGAAATAGATTTTCCCCCCTTCTCTTTTCTTTTCCAAACATTTGTGATTTTCTTTGTGGTTTTCTTGTTTGTCAGCAGACATGGCAAATGATTGGCTACATTTAAACTATGCTCCGCCCTTAACTCCTTCAAACCAAGTTACTGATTTGCTGAAAACAACGTTGCTCATAATCGGGAGAGATTTGATTGGCTGATCCGAGAAAACCCCGCCTTTTATTTTACAATGCCTGGTCTCTCATTGGTTAGTTCATACTGAAGGTGTACACGCCCGTTATTTTTGACTGGCTGTTCTCATATTTTATTGTTCATTTTCCTTTAAATTGTATGCATTTTTTTCATGCATAATCTATACTATATATATATATATATATATATATATATATATATATATATATATATATATATATATATATATATATATATATATATATATATAATATAATATAATATAATATAGAAGGTTAAAAAAGACTAAATGAATAAAAGGAAATAAAGACATTAAATTAAAACAAGGGTAAAAAGAAAATTTCTATTAAAGTGATTAGACTGCTTAAATTCTAAAGAACTTGATTTTTTTTTATCCCACTGCCTCCAATCTGGGTTCCTGATCAAAAGCCCTAACCCCACAGTGCTCCATGATGGCAGCCCACTACTCCCCAAGGGGATGGTGTACATTCAAAAAGGTGCAATGTATGTAGATCTATTTTTGGGGGCATATTGAATCCAGACTTCAAAAGTCACAGCAGACAAGCCAGCAGGACATCCTTAATGGGATTCCCTTATACTGGAAACAGTGATTCGAGCCTTGTTTCGTTCAGCATTATCTCAAAGAATCAGGACTCAGAAGAGAAGTGCACAATATTTGTAGGGAGTGTTGGCCAAGTGGTTAGAGCAGTGCGCTTGTGCTTCTGAGGTTGCAAGTGCCCGGTTCGATCCCCACATACTGACACTCTGAGGAAAAGGCCCTTAACCCCCGATTGCTCCCGTGGTCCAGCACAATGGCAGCCCACTGCTCCCCAAGGGGATGGGTTCAATGCAGAGAGTGAATTTCTCCAGTGTGAGATTAATAAAGTTGAATTATTATATTCAGGTGTGGTGTATCCACCACCTGAGATATTGAAACAAAGTAGGTTGAAACCATGTTTTTATGATGTTTCAACAAAATCCTCACCCTAGTATCATAATGTTTCTTCTTTGATCGACTGATTTGCAAATGCAAAGTATTATTAAATCTGCTATTGTTCAGTCAGGGTGAGCTGCATGTTGAGTCTTCTGCTATTAGCTGACAGAAGTGGCATCAGAGTGTTTTTCTTATTGTGGGTCCAAACCTGTTTTAACAGGCGGTTATTTATTCTGATTTTTCCTTTCCATCGTTTCCAGTCATTCTGTCTGTTCTGCTTTGACCACTGACTTCCACAAGCCCTTGGGTCAGCACAATCGCAGCTCACCGGATTATTTATGTATTTTAAACCCAGTGTCATGAGACAAAACGAGCCACATGACATAAAGCTCCTCTTTCTTCCTCAGAACAAATGGATAAATCATATTTATATAGATTCTTCTTAGTGTTTTTAGTCTTTCTGGGACAGTTTTTACAAATGCTCTTATATATAGGAGGAGTTTTCCAAAACAGTGGAGCAAATATGGCCATTTACCTGTCTCATAGAGACAGACTGCAGGATGGACCTCACCTTGATCCCGCAGCTCTGTGGAAGTGCAACGTTAAACAGAATAAGGCCGGAGGTTCGCTTCCACAGAGCCACACAGAACATGGAGGATTTTATTCAGTTGTGGGGTTTTAACAAAATTTTATGTACTGTGTCAGATAATGTAGATCTACATTTTAACAGGCTCCTCATTTAATGATTTTTAACTGACACTTGTTTTATGTCAATTGTATGGTTTGAATTGTTGAAATAAAGTGTTGTTAAATATTAAAACTCTCATTACTATTTTCTATTAAGGCGGATTGCAAGCAACTTTAAGGCGCTTACCTCCACCTACTGTACATGAGTGTGTAGCAACATTACTTTACATCAATTTCTATTTTTTAATTTTGTATTCTGTAGATAAATAAATAATGCTTTCCTTAATCTGTGAATATCCTTTATATTTCCATCATTTCCCAACATTCCTTTAAGTCTCAAATCTTTGCCTGTCCTTAAAATTATTCTTCTCTATATCTCCTTTTCATGTTCATAAGTTTTACAGTTCATCAGATAATCAGATAATCTACATTTTCTTTTTCTCCACATCCTTCACATTTATCATTATTTTTCTTTCCTATTAAATATACATTGTCATCTAAATAGGTATCACCCACTCTTAATCTGATCAGTATTACTTCTTCCTTCTGTTTCTCTCATTAATGATTCTATTTAATACTGATTTTTGTACCTTATATAATCCTCTTCCTTTCTTATCTTCGTTCCGTCTCTTTCTCCCTTTCTTTCCTCCTAATAAGTGATTTTCCTTCCCCTTTCCCTAAATGAATTGTAATGTTATTATCTAAATCCCTTTTTGCTAATATATCTACTTTTTCATTGCATTTTACACCTTCATGTGACCCTATATAATCTAAATAGACTGTGTTGGATTTCTAATACTAAATCTTTTTTATCATTTCCTTCTCCCTGAATACTTTCTAAAACGTTGGAATCAGTAGAGACCACCACCCTGTCTGCTCTAACCTCCTCTAGCCATTGTAAGCTTAGTATAATTGCCACCATTTCTGCTGTGAAAACAGTTAATCTGATATTCCTTTAAAATATGTATATTTTAAGCTCTGTTATATTTATTCCTATTCCCAGATGTCCTTTTAAATTCTTAATTTATATATTCTTCTTTTTGGAATTTTATTGGCGGTTGGCACGCAACGAAATGGTGCATTACTGCCACCACCAGGTATGGAGTGTAGATCTGAATGGCTACTACCTATCTATACTGAACAAAATCAACAAAACAAAAACCAAAATAAGATTTAAATCCCCTCAATTACACTGATTAATCTAAGATAATGAAAACAAATGACATAACACTTATCTCTTGAGTTAATTCTAAGGATTTCCATTAAATTACAGTGTATTCTTTCTTTATTAAGATTTTGAACCAATCTTCTCCTTTTCCTTTCATACTTCTTACAATTTATATAGATTCTTCTTCTTCTTTTCTATTATGGCGGATCGCAACCAGCTCTAAGATGTATACCGCCACCTACTGTACATGAGTGTGTAGTAACATTACTGTACATCAAGTTCTATTTTTTTATTTTGTATTCTGTAGATAAATAAATACTGCTTTCCTAAATCTGTGAATATCCTTTATATTTCCTTCATTTTCCAATATTCCTTTAATTTATATAGATTAAAACATAGAAATGTTTCCGGGGGAAACATTTCTATGTTTGTTTGTTTCTATCTAACAAACATTTGTATGTTAAACATTTCCGGGGGAAACATTTCTATGTAGCTCAAAACATCCGGTCTTCCCTCTCTCTTTTTTTTTTTTCTTCCATGGCAACGCGCACGTTACCAGAGCGATGAGCAACCGGAGCCTTCACAACTGGAGCAGTTTTATAATAACGTTCTGTTAGTTTGTGATTATCTGAGAGGCGGAACCAGCAGAATGAGCCGCCTGAGTTCGGCCATCCCCGCTGAGCAATACCTCGGTATATTTGCAGCTGCAGTTGCTCATCTATATGGGTTCGGTTCGGTTTGTCTTAACATCTGTGTTGTTGTTTTTGTGCTAGCGGACAGCAAGGTTCTGTTCTACCTGAAAGATGCGTTGACTCAGCTGCTGGACCATAAGGAGGAGTACACCCAGTTCGGCGTGGTTCGGTACTTCGCGGAATAGTAGGTTCCACATTTGGACCCGCCCGAACCACACAGCTAAACACAGGAGATTTGTATGGATTTAATAAAAAAAAAAAAAATGTTTTGTTTTTTTTCTGATTTTCTAGGTTCTAATTTTTTTTCGTTTTTCCTTCGAAAAGGATCCAACGCTTTTTTGAAAATTCAGAGTTGCTTAATACTTATAAAAGTATGTGTATATATACAGATCTGTTTATCCAATTTTAAACAAATCCTTGTTCTCAGTCATAAAATCTAAATAGAAAATAACAGAATAGAAAATAATAATAATAATAAAAAGTATAATAATATTAAAAAAAAACTAAACAAAAAATAATAATAGAAAATAATGGAATAGAATAGAAAATCCCTTTAGGGTTGTTTGTTTTTTATTGAAAAAATACTTATTTTAAAATAGAATATAACAGAAAAGCCTTTTATTGTCTCACAATGGGGAAATTCTGTTGTTTACAGGAGCAAAAAGATTATAGAAAGAAATGGTCACACATATGTGGACCTTAGAAAAATGCATAACATTATAGTGAAGAGTTAAAAGATGAACAATGAAATGCTGTAAAGTGCTTTAACAATATATTATAAAATAAAATCAACATGAATGTGGTAAACTCTGTTCATTCTAAGGTGAAATAAAGGGTTAATCCCCCTTTATTTATCAGCGTGTTTCAACCCAGCTTTACTTCCTGAATATTCCAAATAAAACAAACAAACTATTGTTTCTTGATCAATAATCTTTTAGCCTGTTTTAAGGTGATCGTCTAACTACAGGGCTTCCCAAACTTTTCAGCCTCTGACCCCCAAAAACACCACTGAAACAAAAACACACAGAATTACTTCAGTTTTGGTTCATCTATTTATGTAAATGTAAAATAAGGAGATAGGAAAGCAAGACGGGGAATGCTGAACAGCTGGATCCAGATGGGATATAATTAGTAACCAGGTTTTTTACGTAGCACTAAAGGCCATTATTATTTGATCAATCATGAACTAAAACAATTATAAACTTGTTCGAATCTCCTCTATAATTTGATTTTAATTGTTGTTTTCACAAAGAGGATTTTGTATGGTGGTCTGTTTGCATAGACGATTGTTCTGATTCTACATTTGGGTTTTTTCCCTTTTGCAAGATTGTTTTGAATTAATCTCTGATCAAAGAAAAGGAAAAAAACAACAACCTCCTACTGGTAAATATTATTAACAGGACTCATATTACTGCACCTGCTACCTATGAGTAGATCATTTTATTATCTTATAAAATTTTTATTACCTGAACTTTCATTATTTTTGGCTATTCTTCATTCATGTTGCCTATTTGGTTTTTAAATATTTCGTTTTTGTTGCTGGGTGTAGCCCTTTATGGTGCGTTCAGACCGGAGGCAGTGGCTGTGGCGAGTGCGGTAGATTCACATAGAATTCCTGTACAAACAGCTCCGCCATCACCTCATGCTACTAGATAGAGCTATAGTGCAGCACTGCATGGAGAGAGTGGAGCGCTGATCACTGAAGTGGAAAAATCTGAACTTTTCTATGAAACTCCACACAGCAGCCAATCAGGGACTGGTTGGAGGTGAAACTTTTTCACTTAAAGGTATAGTGGAGGATGTTCTTTTTTTGTGGATCATCAAAATAAGCGGTCCTCCTAATTGTCAATCATTCTGGTGATATGTTTATGTCCTACATGCTCATTTTGACCTTAACCCTATGGTGAGAAATACCTCCTCTCTCGCAAACTGATGAGAAAAGGGATTAAAATATGAAGGAAACATATTCTTGATGTTTTCATATTTCCTATGCATGGATGCCCTAAAACTGAGAGTTTTGGTGGACAGATAAATTCAAATGAAAACGATTTTTACTTGTATGGAGACACGTTTTGGTCGATGTGCTACAGTCAGTGTCTAATGAACATATTCTCAGTGGATGGCATTTCCCACTATTTTTGCTATCAACACCATTCTAGATCATTTCTGACAAAAACATTAAGAATATATTTAAAAGTTCCCTTTTCGTTCATATTTCAGTCCATTTTCTCATCAATGTGCGAGAGTTTACGGCCATGCACGCTCCTGCAACATTGGAGGTAATTCTCGGCAGCCAGGAATTTCTCAGCATTTATCTGTCCTGCAAAAATTTCATTCTCAGAGGATCCATGTATAAGAAAGTGTAATAAAGAAATATTAAAAATATAGTATCCTCAACATAACACCTGTGGTGAGTCTGACAAAGTGGAAAAATTGCAAATCTTCTTTTGCAAAGTAAGCTTGTATGAGCGATGCAAACAGCAACTTTTAAATAGAGCGTGCACGAGGAGAAATGGGCTCCTGCATGCTCACACACGTGTTTAATAGGCGTTCCCTCTCGGGAGCGGGTACAGAGTTGTAATATGCACTTTGTTTTAAAGTGGAAAGGGAGGGTCTTCTTAAAGATTTGTGAAAATCCTCCACTATACTTTAAAATGGAATACAGGGAAAATAATGTTTAAAAAGGTAGAAATAAACTCTAAAGATGTGGTCAGGTGGCTTAAAAATGTCTTTAATTTAGTCCTAAAAGGACTGTTAATCATCTTCAATTCCCTCCAGCACAGAGCCCAGTGTGTTGCTTCCCACTGCCCAGCATCAGTGTTTTCTGAGGGGGTAGATTTACAAGGAAGCCCCGCCTAATCCGACTGTCATCCACACTTTTTTTTCAGAGTTTTTGGGGCTTTTCCAAAAAAAGATGGTCTCCCCAAGGTGGTTCAAAATTTGTTCATAGAGCACAATTTAGCAGCAGTTTGTGATGTTAAAGGTCACCTGTGCTTTTATTGTCAAATGCTGACAGCAAGACCTTGACAGGAAATTACATGGGGTTGCCAGGGGTAACGGCAGGTCCTAAGTGATGGGTCTGGGAGGCTGGTGGTTAACTAAATATCAAACAATCGTTCCAGCCACTAAATAAGGTAAACATGCCCTCTGTTATATTCAATACCAGCACAGAAATGACATGTGATGTTATGCAATAACTTTATATCAGGATACAAACGCAGCGTCTGCTGGGATGCTGATGTCATTGTCCGTAATTATTAAAAATAATTCTATCTTCAAAACCAAATCAGCTCAAATTACCTGCAGAAATGAAGAAGCATTGAAAAATCCGGCTAGATTATTTGATAATTGACCCTTGGGTGACCTAAAACATAATATCTCTGAAACAGCAGCAGCATGTGGTCTTTTTTATTACATTTTTACAAACGACCCTTTTAAATGCTGATGAAGGTTCTCAGTCATCCAGGTCATAGTCATTCCGTAAAATTAAAAAAATATCCACTGGACTTGGTTTCCAAGATTTGAAGACGTTTCGCCACCTCTCCAGGAAGCTTTCTCACCCTTTTAAATGCACAAACCTGCACGAAAGAAGTAATAACCATTCAGTCTATTTGCTGAGTTTTTTTCACATCGGTGGGGTGTCAGCTTCATGATGATGCGGTCCAGGGTGTAAACACCGTGCAGAGCGGTGAACTACCCACAGGGCTGGAGGAAATCAGCGCGGACACCACGTCCGGTCTGGAGGCACCATTAATAAACCGAACCGATGAGTAGTTGAAGGAAGATGTCTTATTTTTTATAAAGACCACAGCTTTGCGATGACCTTCGACCTTATTTATGTGTTTGTAGTTTCAGCAGTGTGAAGAACGGCAACCACGTCCTCTTCAGGGAGTTTAACTTCATCAGAGCCACTCAGCACAACAGAGCGTCCTTCATCAGAGTCTTCTGGAGATGCTTCAGGCAGATCGGGAAGAGTGGAGGTGAGAGCCGCTGCTAATCCGACTGCAGCATGTTAGTGAATAACGGTAGCAGGTTTCCTGAGCCGCAGAATGATAACCTTTTTAATATATCTGTTAATTAATGCTTTCATCTTGTTTAAAGGAATAGTACACCCAAAACATGATTAGCCTTCATTTTCTACTCACCCCCATGCTGAACAACACTCTGGAGTACTTTTTTGATATCTCAAATGCATCTGGAGATCTGGGAGGCTTCTTGCTGTCTGCTGACATTCAAATAATGGAGGTCTATGGTGACCGAGACAGAAAGGTCCATAAAAGTCCACAAAAAACGTGTCAATATTCCTCCATACTGCTCGTCCAATGTATTCCAAGTGTCCTGAGTGGGTAGCATCCAGAATTTACTCGAAACGAAGTAATTTAGAATGTTTTTAGAGCATAAACAGTAGTGTATAGGATTTCCTGAAAGCGCGCGCCGGCGCGTTCATGACGCTACGGAAGCCGGCAGACCAAACCAGATGAAAGTGCGCATTCAGCGTCTGCTCTGCTGATAATGCAAGCGTAGAAGAAGAAATGTGCTGTTTACCTGTGCAAAGAAAGAAACAACGAAAGAAAAATGTCTGAGGACTTCAGTGTTGAGGAAGAGCATGAGTTCTTTGCCGAGCTGAATGCGCACTTTCATCTGGTTTGGTCTGCCGCGGTTTCCGTAGACTCGTGAACGCGCTTTTAGGAAATCCTATACACTACTGTTTATGCTCTAAAAACATTCTAAATGACTTAGTTTCGAGTAAATTATGGACGCTACCCACTCAGGACACTTGGAATACATTGGACGAGCAGTATGGAGGAATATTGACACGTTTTTTTGTGGACTTTTATGGACCTTTCTGCCTCTGGCACCATAGACCTCCATTATTTGAATGTCAGCAGACAGCAAGAAGCCTCCCAGATCTCCAGATGCATTTGAGATATCAAAAAAGTACTCCAGAGTGTTGTTCAGCATGGGGGTGAGTAGAAAATGAAGGCTAATCATGTTTTGGGTGTACTATTCCTTTAAACATATTGTTTCATGACTCCATCCATGAAGAAGGCTCCTTGTTGTTGCAGACTTGCTGTCCATGCTGGAGTACAGGTCTCTGCTGCAGGTGCTGTGCCCAGACTTCCCGCTGGAGGTGGTGCGGAGCGCCGCCAGGTTAGCAGAATAATATGTTGGACTCGGGGATCCTCACTTGGAATTAAAATAGTTTGATCCACAAACTTAAATAAGAATTAGAAGAAGGAAAATATTTAACTGCGATACCACTGCTGAAAGCAGCAGCACAATGGTTTGTCCTCATTTTTCGTCCTTATCACACAATGTCCCCCCCAAAAAACACAAATTTCATCACAAATACAGTAAACCCTTTACTTTGGGTCATCAGGGGAAGTTAGAGCTTGTTATTTCTTTTCTAGCATTTTATTGTCATAACACTGTCACAACTACAGAGCAACAAAATTAATGGAATAGTACACCCAAAACATGATTAGCCTTAATTTTCTACTCACCCCCATGCTGAACTAGCCTGACGTAGTCCTACTCAATTCTAGTCAGAATGTGAGTCTGATACTGCTCCATAGAGCTGTGATTATGGGGCGTGTTTCGAACGAACCAGGAAAAAAAATGCCTCTGCACTCAATTGGATAGATCTACAACCAATAAGAGCAACGGAGTGCGTGACGTATGTTAAGCGAGGCATAGTTGTTGTCCACAAAAATCAAAGCGTGCAGTTGCACGCCTAGAATAAGAAGATGAGCCTTGATCGCGTTTCTCTGTTCCTCTTTTAAAATGAATTTGCTGTCGATATCTTCTAGAACAGACCTAATAGCAGAATCTACTCACCCAAACTCTCCAGCGGCAGCCATTGTTGTTGTCACCCAAGCACGCTTTGGTCACGTGGTTGATTACGTTACTGTTTGTCATCTGTCCATCATCGTATAAAGCCCGCCCTGACAATTTGATTGGATCGCCTGACAGTGGGCGATAATACTCGCGCTACTATGGAGCAGAGCCAGACCGAACTTCCCCGACCTCAAACTTTGTGGGCGGGACTAAGTTCGGAATGGCACCCAGGCTAATGCTGAACAACACTCTGGAGTACTTTTTTGATATCTCAAATGCATCTGGAGATCTGGGAGGCTTCTTGCTGTCTGCTGACATTCAAATAATGGAGGTCTATGGTGCCAGAGGCAGAAAGGTCCATAAAAGTCCACAAAAAACGTGTCAATATTCCTCCATACTGCTCGTCCAATGTATTCCAAGTGTCCTGAGTGGGTAGCATCCAGAATTTACTCGAAACGAAGTCATTTAGAATGTTTTTAGAGCATAAACAGTAGTGTATAGGATTTCCTAAAAGCACGTTCACGACGCTACGGAAACCGCGGCAGACCAAACCAGATGAAAGTGCGCATTCAGCTCAGCAAAGAACTCATGCTCTTCCTCAACGCTGAAGTCCTCAGACATTTTTCTTTTGTTGTTTCTTTCTTTGCACAGGTAAACAGCACATTTCTTCTTCTACGCTTGCATTATCGGCAGAGCAGACGTTGAATGCGCACTTTCATCTGGTTTGGTCTGCCGCGGTTTCCGTAGACTCGTGAACGCGCTTTCAGGAAATCCTATACACTACTGTTTATGCTCTAAAAACATTCTAAATGACTTCGTTTCGAGTAAATTCTGGACGCTACCCACTCAGGACACTTGGAATACATTGGACGAGCAGTATGGAGGAATATTGACACGTTTTTTGTGGACTTTTATGGACCTTTCTGCCTCGGGCGCCATACACCTCCATTATTTGAATGTCAGCAGACAGCAAGAAGCCTGCCAGATCTCCAGATGCATTTGAGATATCAAAAAAGTACTCCAGAGTGTTGTTCAGCATGGGGGTGAGTAGAGAATGAAGGCTAATCATGTTTTGGGTGTACTATTCCTTTAACCTTCTGCGTTAAGGGTCTTGGCTCAGGGAGCCACAGTGGCAGTCCGTGGGAGTGGGCCTCGAACTCAGAGCCAAGCTGTATGCAGGTCATTCCCCTATGATCAACCTATGATGAAGATCACGAGGCATTCTCTTTCTATGCAAATGAATAAACAGTTTTTAGCTTCAGAAGAGTCAGGACCTTAAATATAAATAAGGATGTAGACTGTAGCCCACAGGAATGGCCGTTTATAGACTGGGGTAAAAATAAGCGCTTGGAAATGCAGGAAAAAACAAATGATAAGAATCCAAATCCCCTGAATTCACCATCCCCATGTTGAAACAGGATGTTGGCAGCATTATGCTGTGGGAATGCTCTTTCTGTTTTGTGTTCCATCAGAGGAAAGGGAGCTGCTCAGAAAGATGGAAGTTTCATCCTGCAGCGGCACAAAGATCAGAGATGATGGTTCTGTAAACTTTACCGTCTGAGGAGCCATTTTTTTATCAGTCCCGCTAATAAAACTCGATCAGATCTGCAAACATTATGGGACCTTTTTTAAAGAGAAAAAGATCATTTTATAAATATCGACCAAGATTGATCCTTTTTTACATCATTCTGCCATTTTAAAATAAGATATTTTAAAAAAAGAAAACAACTTTTTCCCCCACTTAAAAAAAAAAAAAAAAAATATATATATATATATATATATATATATATATATATATATATATATATATATATATATATATATATATATATATATATATATATATATATATATATATATATTCTAACCAGCATTTATTTGTCTAATTTTCCAGATTAGCTCGCTCTTCTTCATTTGTAGCCAAAGTGATGAAGAATCGTTGTCATCCCCAGGCTGCAGAGCCCTGTTCTCTCATTCTGGATGTTTCTGTTGTTTCTCATTAACTTCTCTCTGTTCTTTCTGCAGGATCGTTGTGATGGATGAAGCCACTGATTGCCTGATGTCATTCTCTGACTTTATTTATGCCCTCCAGCTGCAGCTCTATTACCAAGGTACAGCATCACTCATGGGCTTAAAACCTGACACTGACCCCCTTCCATATCTGGTGCTGAATCAGATCCATAGGTGATGGATTTCAGAGTGCCTGCTCTTATTGCCAGGACTCTTTCTAACCGTCGCTGCAGCAGCATCACTGGCTGCTTTGCTATCAGCCGTTAGTTTTTTCTTACCTTCCTTTTTGCTGTTGATTTGGCAACGATGCTGTTGGCTCTCATCATAATAACGCCACAGAGACGCTGGCTGCCAATATTGGGTTTTTGTTTTTTTCAGCAAACCTTTATTGAACTTCTAGTGACGGTTACATCCATGCTTACGTCCCTGAACATGGAGCTGCTGTGCGGTGTCTACATTCTGCATCTTTGGGTCGCTTCACTCTCTTGAGGACTGATGAAGGTCACATTTAAATATTGGCTCAAAAAGATGGAAAACCAGAATGGAGGATCAGGACCTGCTGTGTGGACGAAGCAGCGGTCAAAACAAACAGAAATTTTTATTATGGTCTCAATTGTTTCTATGTAGAGGTTTCAGCCGACCTTAAATCTGAGTAGTTTCAAATTCAGACTATCATAGGAACTCGTCGGCTATTATAGGAACTATTATAACGCCTTGATTCTCAAGCCCTTTATAGATTGAATCCAAACCACCAGTTTTCTTTCTTTTTTAATAAAAGATTCTGCTAATTGTGGAAATACACTCACCGGCCACTTTATTAGGTACCCCATGCTAGTAACGGGTTGGACCCCCTTTTGCCTTCAAAACTGCCTCAATTCTTGGTGGCATAGATTCAACAAGGTGCTGGAAGCATTCCTCAGGGAGTTTGGTCCATATTGACATGATGGCATCACACAGTTGCCGCAGATTTGTCGGCTGCACATCCATGATGCGAATCTCCCGTTCCACCACATCCCAAAGATGCTCTATTGGATTGAGATCTGGTGACTGTGGAGGCCATTTGAGTACAGTGAACTCATTGTCATGTTCAAGAAACCAGTCTGAGATGATTCCAGCTTTATGACATGGCGCATTATCCTGCTGAAAGTAGCCATCAGAAGTTGGGTAAATTGTGGTCATAAAGGGATGGACATGGTCAGCAACAATACTCAGGTAGGCTGTGGTGTTGCAACAATGCTCAATTGGTACCAAGGGGCCCAAAGAGTGCCAAGAAAATATTCCCCACACCATGACACCACCACCACCAGCCTGAACCGTTGATACAAGGCAGGATGGATCCATGCTTTCATGTTGTAGACGTCAAATTCTGACCCTACCATCCGAATGTCGCAGCAGAAATCGAGACTCATCAGACCAGGCAACGTTTTTCCAATCTTCTACTGTCCGATTTCGATGAGCTTGTGCAATTTGTAGCCTCAGTTTCCTGTTCTTAGCTGAAAGGAGTGGCACCCGGTGTGGTCTTCTGCTGCTGTAGCCCATCTGCCTCAAAGTTCGACGTACTGTGCGTTCAGAGATGCTCTTCTGCCCACCTTGGTTGTAACGGGTGGTTATTTGAGTCACTGTTACCCTTCTACAGGTGCTGGTCATAAAATTAGAATATCATGAAAAAGTAGATTGATTTCAGTAATTCCATTTAAAAAGTGAAACTTGTATATTATATTCATACATTACATACAAACTCATATATTTCAGATGTTTATTTTGTTTAATTTTGATGATTACAAATGACAACAAATGAAAATCTCAAATTCATCATATCAGAAAATTAGAATATTGTGAAAAGGTTCAAAATTGATGGCCCCTGGTGCCACACTCTAATCAGCTAATTAACTCAAACCACCTGCAAAAGCCTTTAAATGGTCTTTCAGTCTAGTTCTATAGGCTACACAATCATGGGGAAGACTGCTGACTTGACAGTTGTCCAAAAGACGACCATCGACACCTTGCACAAGGAGGGCAAGACACAAAAGGTCATCGCTAAAGAGGCTGGCTGTTCACAGAGCTCAGTGTCCAAGCACATTAATAGAGAGGCGAAGGGAAGGAAAAGATGTGGTCGAAAAAAGTGTACAAGCAAGAGAGATAACCGCACCCTGGAGAGGATTGTGAAACAAAACCCATTCAAAAATGTGGGGGAGATTCACAAAGAGTGGACTGCAGCTGGAGTGAGTGCTTCAAGAACCACCACACACAGACGTATGAAAGACATGGGTTTCTGCTGTCGCATTCCTTGTGTCAAGCCACTCTTGAACCACAGACAGCGTCAGAAGCGTCTTGCCTGGGCTAAAGAGAAACAGGACTGGACTGCTGGTGAGTGGTCCAAAGTCATGTTCTCTGATGAAAGTAAATTTTGCATTTCCTTTGGAAATCAAGGTCCCAGAGTCTGGAGGAAAAGAAGAGAGGCACTTCATCCACGTTGCTTGAAGTCCAGTGTAAAGTTTCCACAGTCAGTGATGGTTTGGGGTGCCATGTCATCTGCTGGTGTTGGTCCATTGTGTTTTCTGAGGTCCAGGGTCAACGCAGCCACATACCAGGAAGTTTTAGAGCACTTCATGCTTCCTGCAGCTGACCAACTTTTTGGAGATGCAGATTTCATTTTCCAACAGGACTTGGCACCTGCACACAGTGCCAAAGCTACCAGTACCTGGTTGAAGGACCATGGTATCCCTGTTCTTAATTGGCCAGCAAACTCTCCTGACCTTAACCCCATAGAAAATCTATGGGGTATTGTGAAGAAGAAGATGCAATACACCAGACCCAACAATTCAGAAGAGCTAAAAGCCACTATTAGAGCAACCTGGGCTATCATAACACCTGAGCAGTGCCACAGACTGATCGACTCCATGCCACGCCGCATTGCTGCAGTAATACAGGCCAAAGGAGGCCCAACTAAATACTGAGTGCTGTACATGCTCATACTTTTCATGTTCATACTTTTCAGTTGGCCAACATTTCTATAAATCCTTTGTTTTTATTGGTCTTCAGTAATATTCTAATTTTCTGATATGATGAATTTGAGATTTTCATTTGTTGTCATTTGTAATCATCAAAATTAAACAAAATAAACATCTGAAATATATGAGTTTGTATGTAATGTATGAATATAATATACAAGTTTCACTTTTTAAATGGAATTACTGAAATCAATCTACTTTTTCATGATATTCTAATTTTATGACCAGCACCTGTATCACCTCGAACCAGTCTGGCCATTCTCCTCTGACCTCTGGCATCAACAAGGCATTTCCGCCCACAGAACTGCCGCTCACTTGATGTTTTTTCTTTTTCAGACCATTCTCTGTAAACCCTAGAGATGGTTGTGCGTGAAAATCCCAGTAGATCAGCAATTTCTGAAATACTCAGACCAGCCCTTCTGGCACCAACAATCATGCCACGTTCAAAGTCACTCAAATCACCTTTCTTCCCCATACTGATGCTCGGTTTGAACTGCAGGAGATTGTCTTGACCATGTCTACATGCCTAAATGCACTGAGTTGCCGCCATGTGATTGGCTGCTTAGAAATTAAGTGTTAACAAGCAGTTGGACAGGTGTACCTAATAAAGTGGCCGGTGAGTGTATATAAATCCAGCGGGTGCAGATAGGATAGGAATGGGTATTTGGGGTGGCGTCGGTCGTGATGGGATGGCAGAGGCTCAGAGTAGAGCTGCTCTTTCTCCATCATCAGGGGGAGGTGGCTGGAGCGTTTCATTCAGTCATTTGTTCCCCAACTTTCTAGTTTAGTTTAGGAACTGATGCAGAAAAACAGATATTTCCTTCTTTTAATTTAATGGTTTAAACAGCTAAAGGGAGACGTTTGTGGGAAGAAGGTCCTTCTGTGCTGGAGGTTTAGGTTCTAATTGATACCAGGGTCTGTCCAGAAAGGTTCAAAGGTGTTCCCAGTTCAACCCCCGGGTCCCTTAGTGTGAGCTCCAGCGGACGAACAGACCGATCAGTAATCCGATAGGAATTCATCAAAATAAAAGAAGCTCCTCCTGTCGCCCTGCAGAGTTCCTGGACAGCGTTCATGTGATCTACCTGGATCTGTTAGCCGGGAAGAGTCCCAACACCGTCATCGTCCCCACATCGTCCTCCGTGGAGCAGCTGACCTCAGCCGCCACGGAGGAGGACGACGGGGAGCAGCAGGAACAGGACGGCGTGGATTCGTCCACGCTGGGCGAGTGTGTGGAGGCGCTCTGCGACAGGTTCAAGTCCAGGTGAGGAGTCCTGCTCCGCTCCGACTGCAGCCTCCCGCTTCCATTTCTGATCATTGTTAAACGATCCATCATTGTGTCTCCATGCAGCTTTCCCCCAGGGACATGCATGAGGGAAGTCCTGCAGCAGAGCGACAAAGTCTCCTACTACAGCCTACTGAGGGCTCTGGCTAAACATGAGGGCATCAACCAAACCATAGGTAGGTTGAACACAACCCCACTGCGCCCTTTATTCAACTATTGTATATAAGAAAGACCAGAACCAGGATCTGTTCCACTCATAGACCCGAGATGTTCCAGCAGAAATCCTTTTTACTCTCATGATCATGGTGCCCCTTTCCCCGGCTCAGTGTCTGGGCTTGAAATGTAATATTTCCATTAGGGCTAAAACAGTTAATCGGATTAATCATGATTAATCGATTATTGAAATGATTGTCAACTAATTTAGTAATCGATTAATCGTTAGTATTAAAACTCTAAAGCAGTGTTTCCCAGCCGGGGGTACTCGTACCCCTAGTGGTCTATGATTGCATTGCAAGGGGTACATGAAAATATTTTATTTCTTAGGTAGTGAAATAAAATGGGGCTGGGGGCTGTTTTGCTTTCTGAGGACCCAACTGAAAAGATAAACAAGCTTTTATCAACGAAAAAGTAAGTTTCTGTCGTTTGAGTTCAGCTTCAGCTGTGAAACGCATCCGAACCAAGCAGAGGAACAGACTGGATGTGGAGAACAGCCTGAGATCAGCTGGTTTCCACACGGAGCTGTCGGAGCTCATCAAAGCAGCTCAGGTGTCCTGAGGAGAACAGAGTAAAGCTAATTAAGTCAGCCTGACTATAATTTGCTCTGCATTTTGTTCAATATTCATCAAGTTTAAATGCAGAGATGGCAAAAGTACTCACTTTCCGTACTTGAGTAAAAGTACAGATACTTGTGTCAAAAAATACTCTGGTAAAAGTGGAAGTACTGATTAAACTTCTTTACTCAAGTAAAAGTAACAAAGTACAGGCTTGTAAATTTACTTAAAGTATAAAAGTAAAAGTAGAAATCACTTTTTTCATGCCGTTGCCTACATTTTAAATGGATGTCTGCCAATAGGACTAGATCTCCGTTGTGTTCATTTTCAATCATCTCGTCGTCCATGCTACTATGCTAACGCCACCGCCACCAAGCTGCAATGATTTGCCGCGAATGAATACCGCCGAATCTGTCGATTCATCTTGTAGTGGTGCGTCAAATGCAACGTAGATTCCCATCCAATTAGATTGAATTTGGTATTGATGACGTGAAAAATAATAATGGTAACTCCATTGAAATGATTCAAAACTAAAGTAATGAGCCAATTTTTTAAAATATAAGGAGTAGAAAGTACAGATATTTATGTAAAAATGTAAGGAGTAGAAGTAAAAAGTCGCCATAAAAATAAGTAGTAAAGTAAAGTAAAAATATCAGAAAAATCTACTTGAGTACAGTAACGAAGTATTTGTACTTCGTTACTTCCCATCTCTGTTTAAATGTCAATGTCAAATTTATTTATATAGCACTTTAAAAACGGGTATAAAGCTGCACCAAAGTGCTTTACAGGAAAGACAACAACACCAATTAATACAACAGATTGTGAAATGTGATTATAAGGGAGTTACTCAGAGGAGCTCCAGTTTTATCAACACAGGTTTATAATATGAGTTTATTTTGTATTTATTTCAAATCTTTCCTAACTTCTAGGCAAAATATGTATGTGGGTTTTTTTATTTGAGATGTAAAACTTAAAATTATAAAGATTTAGTAAAATAGTCTGTGTCTATAGTCTATTGTAGTTTATTGTACTTTTAGCAAATCATCAATATTTTTGACTGAGAAGGGAACTCATGTTAAGACAAAATGACCAAAGGGGTCAAAAATGGTTGGAAAACACTGCCCTAAAACATGCCTTCAGCTGACAGAGCAACAGTAATTATACCAAAATAGTCATATTTAGTATATATTTAATATTATATAATAACAGTATATATTTTACCTTTAAGATAAAAAAAAATTTTCGTCTGTCAATATGCTCTATCCAGAACAAATTGAAAACTTTTCTTTAAGGAACCTTTGGCTATCCGATTATTCATTGATTAATCGAAGAAATAATTGAATTAATTATTTGCAGTCCTAATTCCAATTTTATGGGACTGAATTTTAGGATTTCATGATCTATAAGCTAAACAAAGAACAGGAGTGTTTCCTCACTCTGATTTCATTCATAGCCAGTGGCATGAATCCTTTTTTATCACACTGGAAAAAATCCCATTTTTTCCTAAAATAAGTGCATTTGTTCTTGGATTGAGGAGGTAAAATAAGCATTTTGCCAATAGAACCAGACAGTTTACATTTAAAAAAAGAAAACACAACTGCATTGTCTTATTTCAAGTACATTTTATCTAATTATCTTATTTTAAGATTAAAAATACTCATTACATTAGCAAATCATCTCATTAACCCACTAAAATTAAGGGTAAATCCACTTAATTTAAGAAAGTTTTACTTATTTCTAGATCGTTATTCCATTGCAGCGGATAACTGTTTGTGTCTCTGAACTGCCACAGGAGCCTTACCCAGCGAGGACGAGCTGCTCATTGACCCAGAAATGGACCAGGAACTTGACAAATTGTGAGAACAAACACTTGACCTATAATCACACATTTATTCTACATGTTACACCATCATAGAAAATAACTAATTTTGTCTGGTTGAACCTGGCTTTAAGGATGCAGAGTCATAGACCTAAAGGGAAGGACAGATCACCAAAGGATGCCAAACGAGGCAAAAAAGTTTTGAGTTTCAGAAAACAGAAAAAATGTAAATACATTTTAAAAAAGCAGTCAGTCGCCTTTATGTCAGTTATTTTTTGGTTTAACTGTCTAAAAATGATATCAAAGTGAAAAGCGCTCCTAAGCTCATCCTGTGGGATGCTGCTCTGAGTTCTGTCTTTCTGTTTGAATAAATCCAGAATAGCTCAGATCTCTGTGAGTCCCGGCAGCAACAGCAGCGGCAGCGCCGTGGGGGGGTTGAAGGAAGCGCAGAGGAGAGCCTCACCCCGCCGGAACATCCACCATCGGAGGAAGATGGAGGTGGAGAGCGACGGCTCCACCGAGGAGACCGACTCCTCTGAAAACTGAATTCTTCTGTTCACTGATTCCAGAGCCACCAAACAGCATCCTCTATTATAGATCTATTCCGTTAGACTGTGCAGCATAAACAAAGAGAGAACATGTTGACCCTATGAGGGACGTCAGGCTGACAAATCCACTCTTCCACCGTTTCATTTCATCTCCTCTTAACCTTCGCTCGTACATAAATATTCTACTGATCTTTTGAATTGATCTTCGGTTCCTCTCTGAAGAGTTTTTCTTTCCTTTTTATTTTTTACAGATTTTTTTGGTCCAGTTTTGGAGGCTCTGTTTTTTTTTATCTTATGGTCAGTTTTTTAAAGTAGCTGTAATATTTAAAAATCTTTTTTTTTTCCACTTTGTGTCAGACGGACTTGACACCTCTAATTAATTCTATGAAATGTTAAAAAGAAAACATTTTATAAATGTTTCACAAACAAAATGCATCATCCTTTCTCAATGACATATTAATGTATAAAATGACGTTCTCTTCATTTACTCTTTGTTTTTGTCCATTTTTAATAATTACAAGCTTCTCTTTTAACCCTTCGATCTGCCTCCGCATCACTCCTTGTGTAACACTTTCACTACTGTATCACCTGTTGATGTATATATCAATTATTTAAGGACATGAATATGTTCAGTATATATGATGCCATTCTCACAATGAGCAATAAAAGCTAGAACTGTGATGCTCTGGTTTTTATGTTTCCACATGTGCAGCACTTTGTTGCAGCTGCAGTCGTTTTTAAAGTTTTCTATGTATAACAAAGTCGTACTTTAATATGGAGCAGGTTTTTGGTTTGTTTCCATGATTTTTCAGCTGAAGGTTCTGATCCAAATGAGTTTCCAGCGTTTTGTAGGATAAATTGGAATTACCAGTAAAATTAGGACTATAACCATAAACGGACAGTTTGGGTTTATGTCAGAAGGCAGATTTAACCCTAAAAACCTCAAATTGAGATCTGAGAGGGAAAGGAAAGACACAATGGAGGACTGATGGATAAAATGACGATAAAACCATGTTTGTCTCTGGAAACCTTTCCAGACCCAGAAGACACTGAACTGTTTTTGTTGAAGGCGTCGCCTGCTTTTGGGAACATAAAGAACAAAACCTCTGATAAGCATGAAGTTCTAATACCGTCTGCAGACTTTAACCAGCAGAAAATCTACATTAAGCATAAATCTCCTACAAACAGGGGCGGTTCTGGTCGGGGGCCAACGGGGGCCGGCGTCCCTGTAGGACTGGCCCTCATACTGAAGACTCAATACCAAACCAAATTGTTCTTCATTGAAATTGATTTAATTTGAAATTTGAAACTGATTTAAAACCATTTGGGCCACACTTTAAGCCTGAGAATAATAAATATATATGATCTATGATGAGTTTTCTGTATGACCAGGTCTGCAACCTGCAGCTCTAGAAAGGCTCGGTGGCTCATTTGATACATTAAACAATAAACCGCTCTCCTGTTTTGATTTGCATTATTCTTGTTTTCTGTGCCCTCATGAAAAAGAACCTAACTCACCAATAGATTGCTGCAGAAAAATGAAAAAAAAAAAAAAGCAAATAAAAGAATAAGCAGACAAAGCTCTCTGCCTTTTTTTGTTCGTAAACTTGATTTATTGACAAGAGATCTTCATTTTACAACACTGATATCATGCGGCGTGACACCCGGTTACAGCGTACAGTAATACATCCTATACACACCTACGTACATACTGTACATACAGGATTTCTCCAGATCTCTGTGAGGATGAGGAGGATGATGGCCTATGTACAGTGGATGTTAGTGCTGTTAGGATCACAGAGCTGGAACAAATAGGAAGGACACTTTCTGGAGGAGCAGCTGAAAGTGGTGTGCCTCGGGTGGTTGCCGTGGAAACGAGGATGACACCCCCTAGTCGAAGGCGGAGCTACAGCTTAAAACTCTTTAAGTTTTACTTTGGACTGTTGCTTCTTTTCCACTCGGTCTGGATCGATTTAAATAAGACATTAAATATTTTCTTTTACCTCGTTAACCATCACCTCCCCTGTTGGAAGGACGCCTTCGTCCTTTTCATCCCCATAAATGAAGCCATACTGGGATCTTTTTTTTGATCCCATGTATTATTTACATGTATTAATGGATTTTCAGTATTTACTAAAGTTTTCTGCATATTTCACCTGCTTTCCTGCTTCTAACTACCTTTCTGCAGAAACTAGTCTCCCTTTTTACTGAATTAAGTGTGTTGAAGCAGGAAATGTGAGAAACATGCAGTCACTGCAGCAGCCAGTAGCTCTTGATGACTGTTTCCCCACAGCTGATCTGATCTCAGCTCCATTATATAAACTGTTTTCATGGCAGCCACCTCAGACATGACCGATCGGACTGAATCACAGGACTACTCATCTGTTTGGGTTTTGTAGGTTCGGTTATGTGTTTCTGGAGGGGGCCAGTTAGTGCAGAAAAATAAGAGGAAGAACAAAAAAAACAGGCACTGCTTGTCAAATGTATACAAATAAGGTTAAGGTGCTCCATGATCAAAGGCCTCATCTGCTCAATCTGAGCTAAACTCTGTAATGCCTGCTGTGGCCACTGGAGGGCAGCATGACATGAACCCGGTTATCAGGGTTGTTCCCAGACTGCTGGGTTCTAGTCCAGGTTCTTATTTGTTTCTGGAGTAAAAGCAGCAACTGAGGATTTACATGAAGAAAATACTCCTATTGAGTTTAAAGAAGGAAACAAAAACACAAGTAAAGATTTTCTGATTCAGACTTTCAGGGGAAAATGACACCTAAGAGTTCAAATTCTGCAATTTCTGCGGTTTAAATTTGGTCATAGTTTCCTTCATCTTGAGATTCAATTGTTTTCACCACTTTTATTATTCCAAAGCAGAAAATATGATTTTATTTTAATATTTATCAGTTTCTCTCGTCTCATTTTAGAAATCTCTTTCCTGTGACCTTTCCGAAACATTTCCTGCTTATTTTCTCAGCAGCTTTTTCTTTGGATTTGGCTCCGGATTTGAGCAGATAAAGCAGAACAAACATCGTCTTAAAGTGATGAAAGGACGACTGAACAGCATCTCTCTCTCGCTCACACACACAGATTGCACAGCAGTGTTTCGGGCTCGACTCTTTTCCCGCCCGTCAACGTTTTCAGTTACATTTGGAAGAAAAATTAAAGCAAAAAATGAGGCATCTTCCCCTTTAAAACATCAGATTGTCTGCTCTAAATGTCTGAAAATGCAGGTTTGGTGCTTCTGGAAACTAGCAGGTCCAGGTTGTGTGATCAGATGAAGGCCTCTGTTACCATGGAGCTCATGAAGTCTGACAATCCCTCCTGAGCTTCTTCTGGAGAAACTATTATTTAAGTTAAGAATCTGTTTCATTCTTTAAAAAAAACCAGGAGCATAGATGTTTGATGGAGATCTTCGTTGCACCTGAACATCCTGACACAAACCTCACTGTTACATTTGGATTGGAAACCATATACAGCTCTGTTACCCGAGACAAAACATCATGATGTCATCATGCTTTTTCTTTAAGCAGCCGATCTGAATCGGTTCAGTTAATTTATTTTTTTTTTTTCTTTCATATATTTTGCTTTCTAGGAGTTATTAATTCCAGCTTTTGCTTCACTAAAACTGTTTAAGGAGATAATTTAAACTCCAGCTGTGGTTCATAAGAAGAATCATAGCTGAGAAACATCTGAGCTCCACTGATTGGTCAAGAACATCTCTGATGGTGCAGCCACGCTCCAAATGTTTCTGCGGCAGCATCAAAGTTCTCCAAGCTGATCTCTCCCTCTGATCACTTTGGACATCTGGAGAAGAGAAACAGCATGAGTCCTGCATGGTGCAACAAGGTTGCAGTGGAGATGGATCAGAAAGTCCTTCAAGAGCAGTTTCTTCCAGCATTCAGGGAGAAGAGGGTGAGGATCTGCAGATTGTCCATCATGATGGAAAGGTAAGATCAACCTAACTCCCATACCAGATCAACGAGGTGTTGGACATTTGGTCAGATAACCGACCAGATCAGAACCTCTGCTTGGTTTTTAAAAAACCAGGGGGAGAAAACAACAGACTGAGATCAACCCCAAGCTGTATGTAAGAAGACAAGAACAAGAAGAGAAGAAAATATTTATTCATCCCGAGCAGAGCTCTGATGAATCTGATTTTTATGGTTATGATCCAAAGTTTCAGCTCTTCACAAGTACTTCTGATTCAAATCCTTCCGGCAAATTAACCAGCTTTAAGTGGTGCCCTCCCTCGCTGTCCTGTCGATTGCCAGGTCCACTAATACTAATCCTTTTAAGGCTAGGCTTAAAACTTTCCTTTTTGATAAAGCTTAGAGTTAGAGTGGCTCAGGTTTTCCTGAGTTATCTCTATAGTTATGCTGCTATAGGCTTAGAATGCTGGAGGACATATTGACCCCAATCTCATCCTTCTGCTTCATTCTGTCTCTATTCTCCCACTCTGCAGAATCTGTTAGTTCAATCTCTAACGTTCTGCTCTCTCATAGTAGCTTCGCCTTGTCTGTTCCAGTTGGGCTGTGACTCCATCCTGTTTATAGATGTTGGAGATCTGCCTGTTTTCCAGTGTAGTCCTGTTTCTCTGGAGGTTTCTTCCAGTTAAAAGTGAGTTTTTCCTCTCCACTGTCGCTACAAGCATGCTTAGTGTGAGGGATTGCATTCGAGTCAATAAGTCGATGCAATCAACTGGTTTTCCTTAGATAGAAAACTTCAAATCAATGTGACTGTATGATCTGGTGAACTGTAAAGTGCCTTGAGATGACATGAGTTGTGAATTTGTGCTATAGAAATAAACTGGATTGAATTGAATTAATGGATAGCATTAGTAAACATTTTCCAGAAGATAAGCAGCTTCTTAGCACTGACGCTCTAAAGCTCACTGATTTTCACCATAATTTTGCTTTCTTTTGTTTTTAATCATAGAAAAGGAAACTAGAGAAGAAGAGGGAATTTCTCAGATCTATCATGGAGCCATTAGGATCTGGAAACACCTGAGCTCCGTCTCACCTGACTTCAACCTACTACTCCTATTGGTGCAGAACCGTTTGTGCCCATGTTGGCATGGTAACCAACTGTAAATATTTACATATGGTGGAAAATAATCATTTCTATACTTTTTTTCAGGAAAACTAATACTTTTATTCTGTAATTATTTCTAAAAAATAATTGTTTTTAAACAGCCTTAGCTGTGACCTTCAACTCTAAAACTTCTTTAGGAGGGAAGTGGCGTCCAAACCAGGCCGATTGAATTCCTGTCAATCCCATGAAGAACCTTTCCAACGACATGATGTAGGCGAGAAGATGTCAGAGAAACAGATGTCATATCCACACTGGAAAAAAATCGAAATCTAGACAAGTCATTTTTTCTTAAAATCAGTGCATTTGTTCTTGAATTGAGGAGGTAAGTGAGACACGTTGCCAATTGACATTTAAAATAAGAAAACAAAATTGCGTTGTCTTATTTCAAGTGCATTTTATGCAAATATCTAATTTTAAGAGTAAAAATACTCATTCCATTGGCAAATCATCTCATTTATCTACTCAAATTAAGAGTAAATTCACTTAATTAAAGAAATTTTTGCTCATTTTTAGATAGTTTTTCCAGTGCAGATGTAAAGAACCTCCAGACAGATGAGAAACAGAGTCACTGGCGTCCATCGGCCTGGAAAGTGCTGCAAAGCACTATTTAACGCTTCAGGAGTTCATTGAACCTCAGTGAGGTGCAACAAGGACCAGAGGCGAACCCTTCCCCGAGGGGTCGCCCTACTAAAACTACTCCAAGAGGACTTCAACTCATCAAGAGCCCCAAAACAGGCTAAACCAGCTTGTCCAGAACCAAAATCAGCATGAACATCTGTCTAACATCTGCCAAGAAACATCTGAATGACCCAAAGACGGGAGCGACGGTACTCTGCGCCGCAGGAATGCGTCTCAGATCACAAGAATGACCTGCTGTAAGTGACAGAAACATAACTTCTGCTCCTTACCAGCAGATTCTGACCATCAGTCCATAAAACCTTAGTTACATTGGAGGAGATGTATGAATAATTGAAATAAATAAAATGAAGGGAGTGGCCTAGTCAAAGTCTGGATGCCTTCCACAGGGAGAACCTTTCAGTTTGGCTGAATAAAAGCCACTCTAAAATGAAAGATTGTTTCTCGGTGATTTAATAGAGTTAAAGCGTAAAACAATTGTTGTCGCTGCCTTTCGATCATTGAGGGCCTTCAAACTACACCAGCTTTATTTGGGCCTTTGGTATTTTTTCTGTTTATTTGTGATTCTGTCTGGACGCCTCGTCTTCTTCACCCCGGTGTAACCGATGTTTGCAGTTGTTTTAATGCCATCTAGTGGTCTTTGTTGGTATCTCAGCTGTGTTCTTCTGTGAGTTGAACACTTTTAGCCTCTTCCTAGAGGTTGTGTCTCTCTGTTAAAGTGATCATCTGTGGTTCCCATCATCTCTAAATGTTGGATGTCAACGCTCATTTTATTGAATACAATATCTAATTATGGGTACATGTAAATATTTTCTGTTAATAAATGCATGACTATAAAGTGACTGTTGGGGACATTTCGGTGTGTTAAGTTGTTTTGGTTGTGTCCATCATAGAGGGATTCTCCTGGTCACCCGGGCAATTAAAGATGGACCTGGCCGTCTCTTTTGATGCAGCAAACTCAGTAAAAACCCACCATGCAGGCAGGATATGCTGTCCGGGTGTAAGACCAGGCTTACATGCACAGAGTGAGTCTTCAGTTTTGTGGAGGAGCCAGAGGAGGAAGAGGAGGGTTCATTCAATGAAGATGTCCTCGGTGGGACAGGAATATCCGATGTGCTCCTTGTAGTACTGCTGGAACGCCCTCCTGAGGGAAAAGAACAAAAAACAGACCAGATGAGGTCCAAAGTTTAGTTTTTCCCACAAAGTCTAATTTTTAAACCAGATATTTACTTAAAATGCTTAAAAAGAAACACAAACTTTTGACTGATCTATCTATATATAGATCTATCTATAGATAGACAGGCGGGTATTGAAATATGACAAAAGGGAGCAGATATTTACTCACCGGACCGACTCTGCCAGAGGATGTAGGGAGGTGTCTGACATCAGGACGTGGCAGGCGAAGCGCTGCTGGTCAGGATGTTTGGTGATGAATCCAAAGTACCTGCAACAGAACCAAGATATGAAAATGTTCTGCTGGTTCAAACGTCTGCAGGAAGGAGAACTTTCAGTGACTCCAAAACCCTCAACAGAACTCTGAGAGCGGTTCTACATAGAAATGATTCAAGTAGATTTTGTCGACATACCTGCTGTGTTTGGGATGGCAGCCACAGAATGAGATGTTCTTCAACTGGAAGAAATGGAAACACTGGTCTCCCTGACATGGAGACACAGACAGGTCAACTAGTAGAAAACTTAGCATGAGTCTTCAGTGGTGTTCCTCAAGTCTCTATGCTGGGGACCCTTTTTTAATCTGTTTCTGCTGCACTAATTTACTCACATAACTTCACAAATGTAAACTTAAAGTTCAACTTTTGATTGTGATGTTCTCAATCTAGAAAAAATGGAAACAATGTTGTTCCTGACAGAAACAGACAAAATAAGTCCTGCTCCTCTGATGGGACCTCAGTCTATCTGTTCTATGCTGGGGATACCTTTTGCCCTCTGCTGCTCTAATAATCCTTTATTCTGATGTAAAGAAAATACATGGCTATATTACACACTGGATTTCTTTTATTTTGATATCAACAGATGGAATCAGGCTGTTAGAGAATGAGATGTTCTTCCACGTAATAAAACAGAAACGGGTCTCCTGACAGACACTTGGTGTCAAACACAGATTTAATGCAGTGAATCCTGTAATAGAAATTCTTCATGAAGTTCCTCAAGTCTCTATTAATGGGATCATTTTTTATGTTTTTAAAAACAAAAATGTAGAATTTAGTTAATTAATTAGCATTTCCATGTATTTATAGCAACCAGAAAATGGCATTTTTAACAGGATTTATTTTTCGCTGGTATTCCTGAAGGCTCTATGTTGGGAGGCCTGCTTTCCAATTCAATTCATTTCAGTTTATCTCTATAGCTCCAAGTCACAACATGTCCTCTCAGGTCCCTTTACAAAGACAATTCAACCAGATCATACAGTCAGATTGATTTGACGTTTTCGATCTAAGGAAAACCAGTTGATTGCATCGACTCATTGACTCTTCAGCAATCCCTCACACTAAGCATGCTTGTAGCGACAATGGAGAGGAAAAACTCCCTTTTAACAAGAAGAAACCTCCAGGAAAACCAGGCTCGGTGTGAGCGGCCGTCTGCTGAGGCCGACTGGAGTTCAAGGAGACAGAAGCTGACTTGATGCTGCAATAATCTAGCCTGACGTAGTCCTACTCAGTTCTAGTCAGAATATGAGTCTGATGCTGCTCCATAGAGCTGTGATTATGGGGCGTGTTTCGAACGAACCAGGAAAAAAAATGCCTCTAAACTTAATTGGATAGATCTACAACCAATAAGAGCAACGGAGTGCGTGACGTATGTTAAGCGATGTATAGTTGTTGTCAACAAAAATCAAAGCGTTTCTCTGTTCCTCTTTTAAAATTAATTTGCTGTCGATATTTTCTAGAACAGACCTAATAGCAGAATCTACTCACCTAAACTCTCCAGCGGCAGCCATTGTTGTTGTCACCCAAGCACGCTTTGGTCACATGGTTGATTACGTTACTCTTGATCATCTGTCCATCATCGTATAAAGCCCGCCCTGACAATTTGATTGGCCCGCCAGATATTGTGCGAGCATACTCACGCTACTATTGAGCAATGCCAGACCGAACTTCCCGACCTCAACCGTTGTGGGCGGGACTAATTTCGGAATGGCACCCAGGCTAGCAATAATCTGCTCTCAGTGTTTGTTTGGGTTTATTTGTTTTTAATATTATTTCAAAAGGAAAAGTATGAGATTTTTTTTCTTTTGCCCATAGATTAATTTCAACATTCAGAGAATACGATGTTCTCCTGGCAAGAAAAACACAGAGATTTGATCCCTGGTTGTTGAAATTAACATTCCTCTTAACTGTTTTTTCTTGCAGCTTTATGCCAGTACGCCTTATTCTCTGCTGCAATATTTTGCCTCCATGAAACTGGTTTGTTAAATAGAGACACGATGGTTTTAAAACTCTCCACAGATTGATATTTGCTTTCTTTTTGAGCTATTTGTAGACTCTTAACTGCCACTGGGAGGCGCTGTACAGCTATATGTGATGTTTCCAGAAGATGGACAAAAGCTCAGATCTTGGACATACCCTGTGAGCAGAGTGGCACTGGTCCTGAACGATCATCTTCACGCCCTTCACGCTGACCTCCAGCACGCAGGCCGACGGCGGCTGACCCGCTGACCGTCTGTTGCACGCTACCTGTGAGAAAACACATAATCAGTTTATCAGAACAAACGAACAACATGATCTTTGATGTAATGTAAATGTAATTTAAATCCCTTTCTCGTCCAACAATGGGGAAATTCACTCACTGCAATTTGACCAATCAGCTTGGGGAGCAGTGGGCTGCCACTGTGCGGCGCACCGAGGAGCAGTGTGGGGTTAAAGGAGTCATAGAATGATTCTATAGGGTAGGGTGTAACATTGGTTGGGCTGAAAATGGCATATTTGCTGTTCTATGAGCCCTAATGCAGCCTAGTTAAAAGCCCTAGAATGAAACAACAGGTTTTCTTCCTTTTATGGTTTGATCATGAATATTTAGATGAGCTGTGTGCTGATTGGTTGGTTTACAACGAGCAAAGCTGCTGAGCAAAGACGCATCATAGCAACAAGCACTCACTCATTGAAACATCGAAATTGTTGATATGGTAGGATGACAAGACGTCCTCTTTTTTCCGGACATGTCCTAATGTCCAGGGGGAATTAAAAAATCGTACGGGATTTTGGTCGACTACAGCGCAACTTTTTTACTGGAGGATTCCACCTATTTGACAGGATGCACAGCTTTGAGTGGTAACTAACTGACTGTCAGAGAGTAAACCGAAACTTATTACTTATCATTTTTCTGCCTAATCCAATCAGTGCGTTCTTTAAAACCAGTCACCTTGAATGCTCGTTGAACAGAGCATCGCTTTGGACAGATACGTACAGGTTTCACAAAGAACCTCCTCCCCACACCCCAGAAGTAGTTTTAATCCGCACATGGTGCACGAATTATTGTATTGCCTGTATGCTCTCATTCCCATTAAAAAAACACCACCTCGCATAGTCTAAAATCCGGGATAATTTATCCAACTCGCTGGCATTGGGGAACAAGATCTATATCAAGGAGACTCCCGGAACTTCCGGGAGACTTGGGATGTCTATTACCAGCCCCCCTGCTCTGGCTGAGAGCGGGCGGCTCATGGCTCTCTGCTGAGGTCCGGTCCAGTCAGCCATTAGTGGGCTGGTCTGAACGCCAGAACCAAATAAGGCAACATTGACGTCAATTTGGTGCTTCGTTTGGATTCGCCCGTTTTATTTTGGAAGTTTAGAATTGTGAGATTTGCAGAGAAAGGAGGTGTGGATAGGGTTTGAACTTCTCTGTACGTCCATTTCAATAACTATCGTTATTCATCCCTGACAATGTGAACTCGGTTTTGCATTCCTTGACCCCTTTAAGGGTCTTGCTCAGGAACCCAGAGTGCAGGCTGTGGGGATCAAACCGGACTTGCAACCTTCTCAGGGCACAAGAGCGCTGCTCTAACCACTAAGCCAGCACTCCCCACTATCACAGCGCTTTTTAATTCTTCAGTTTAGCCCTAAATGAGGATGTTTTTCTTCAGGGTTTATCGGAGAAGCCAAAGACTGGAGGACCTGTTGAAGGTTGTGAACCCGTCCATTTTTCTTGCAATTGATCACAGGGTTTTTGTACCTTCTGCATTGCTGAACACAGGACATCATTTCCCATGTGGAAGGGAACTTGAACCGAGCCCAGAAACCGGACCACGAATGGCTCCGTCCAGCCGTCATTCCGGGCTGAAAGAAAATCAGACCAAGAAACAAATTAAAAGACCAGAAGCTGAAAAAGAAAAGTAAATCCACACTTGATGCTCCCTCTGCTGGACTTTTTCTGTATCACCAAGCTCAGCTTAGCTGAAAATCAGATTGATTGCCTGAAATCTACCCTAAAGAACAGACGTCCTGGTTCCTGGAACCATGGAAAGGGATGGGATATGTCCATGGCTCTACTGGTTCCATCGACTATGGATTGACACAGCAAAACTTCAGACATCCAAACTGTGCAGTGGTGTTAACACTGCTCCCGCACAGCGTCATAGACAGTCTCTCATCATCTACTTCTTTTTCCGGTCTTTTTCAGTCTAGTTTTCAAAATTTCCAGCTTTTTAACAACTTTCAATATTTGCTTCTTTGACCTGTTGAGGTTCAGCTTCACTTGAAAAACGATCTAGAAATACGTAAAAAATTCTTAAATTAAGTGCCTTTACCCTTAATTTGAGTAGATAAATTAGATAGTTTGCCAATGGAATGAGTATTTTAATCTTAAAATAAGATAATTAGATAATATGTACTTAAAATAAGACAATGCAATTGTGTTTTCATATCTTAAGTGTAAATTGTCTTGCTCCATTGGCAAAATGTCTCTTTTACATCCTCAATCAAAGAACAAATGCACTTATTATAAGAAACACTAACTTGTCTAGATTTAGTTTTTTTTTCCAGTGTTCTTGGATGTTTTCATCCATTATTTTGAGCTTTAAGGATTAAAATGTGTATTTTCTTTAGCCTTTCAGGTTTCTAAGAGTGGCTAAAAGAAATTGGCATATCTGTAACTTCCTCTTTACATCCCAGGGAGACAGGAAGTCAGGAATTACTTGATAAATCTTCCTAGACAGCAAAGCAGAAAGTATAAATAAAAATAAGTGTTTAAATGACATTTACTTCATATGGACAGATATGTTTTGGGATTAAATACTGCAGCACAGTTAGAAATATTTATTTTCTAAAGTTTTTTAAGTTTCTCAGCTTGAGGCTGAATTAAGTAGTGCTGAAAAAAGAGATCCTTGCTGAATAATGGATTCTTAGGCACAGATCCAATCATACCAAAACTTTATGTATAGATTTGATAAACACGGACAGCAGGGAAGGTGTTCATAAAGAAAGAGTAAAGTCCAAATAAATACGTCGCCTATTAAATCAGGATGAGCCACATTTTTGCAGAGAGTGTTAAAGATGGGTCTAACAGTGGGAGGGTCTAAGGAGTCGATGCATAAAACTCTCAGCAGTTCTGTTCCTGCAGCTTTGCCCTGAAACGCTCTCCTGCGGCGCAGCGTACCATGGCTCCCGTCTTTGGAGACCCTGACAGCGTAGAAGGCCGGGAAGATGCCGGTGGCCCCGGTCCTCATGTTGTAACCCTGGCACCACAGGTCCTCGCTCTGCTTCAGCATCAGAACCGGGTCGTCCGTCTCCAGCTGCAGCTCGTCTGCGTGGCGGGGAACAAACCTGCGGAGAGAACCAATCAGGATGGATGTCTCCCCGGTGTGGTGATGTAATTGTGTCTGGATTCGTTTAGATGTTGTTTTCCAGTGTAGTCCTGTTTCTCTGACTGTGACTAACTGGATATGCTCTCTTCATCCTCTGACATGGGAGCTGGCTCGGAGCTCGTCTGCCTGGCTGTGTGTTTCCGCCTTTTACAGCTGCTTTTTGTATCTCTGCTTCTGTCTCCTTGAACCCCAGTCGGCCTCGGCAGATGGCCGCTCACACTGAGCCTGGTTCTGCTGGAGGTTTCTTCCTGCTAAAAGGGAGTTTTTCCTTTCTACTGTCACTACAAGCATGCTTAGTGTGAAGGATTGCATTCAAGTTAATGAGTCTATGCAATCAACTGGTTTTCCTTAGATAGAAAACTTTGAATCAATGTGACTGTATGATCTGGTTGAACTGTAAAGTGCTTTGTGATGACATGTGTGTGAATTGGCGCTATAGAAATAAACTGGATTGAATTGAATTTTTTCCGTGTGTGCTGACCTGTAAACAGCCCGATGGCTCTGCTGCCTCTCCACTCCATCCAGAAGGCAGGAGAACAAGCCAAAGGAGCCGGCACCTGAAAAACAAACAGCCAACATCACGCTTGGAACCAACAGCTGGTGTTAATGAAGACTGAGCTTCTGAGGGGATGTTCAGGATGCTCCTTGGGACTCTTCATAGAGACTGTGGTACATAAAACGTTAAGGAGGACCTATGGTGCTTATAGAGACTGAGCTACCATGGATATAACTAACCAGGTGCTTTGGTAAAGGTTAGGCTGATTTTAATACTGGGATGGAGGACGGAATTCATACGTTGTTTAAAAATCATTTTCATTGATCTTGAGGGTGTGGAGGCTTTTATTTGGCAGAGCATCATGATCTGCAACATGGAGCAGAAACCCTGAATTCTCCCAAGTGGTGCCCGACTTAACACGAGTGAATAAAGTGAATGTCATTGGTCGTTTATCAAGAGGGCGGGATTGTTGTGGTGGAAGGTTCGCAAGCAAGTTTGGTTGTGGCCGATTTGTTGGAAGCATCTTGGAAACCAGTTAGCAACTTAGTGCTAGCAGGTTCCCAATGGGAAATTCCATTGGGACCAAGTAGCACTAAATTGGTGACTTAGAAACGACGCTGTCAAGGAACGCTATGGACAGAGGAAACATGCAAGAGGAGGAGAGTTTAGTGTCGGAGGTCGTGGAGGAGTCTCCTCCGTCATCCATTTTTTATTTAGAGGAGGAAAGCGGGGACGAAGATGTTGTGGACGAGGACGCCAGGGCGGCAGATGCTTGGTTTGGTGTAGAAGGCTTCCAGCCGTACATGTTTGAGCCCTCGCCTTACAACGTTGCCAGTTCTGTTAGCTCTACGCCTGCCGAAGACACAGACGTCCATCCCCGTGAACACTGGGACGCAACTCAATGGGAAAGGACATGATTCTGTTTTCTTATTTCAGCCATTGCGTATATTAGCTGCGACATATAAATCAAGATGCTATGACTGAAAACATTTGATTGACAGATGGTGGTTGATATATAATTGGACGAAGTTAGGTGTTCAGGCTGACGTAGAACTAACTGGCCTGCATAAAATAAACAGAAATTTTCAAACTTTTGGGACAATATCGTCTGATAAAGAGAACATTTATATACATGTTTGAGCCAGAATGATTTGACATTTAAATATGATTTCCCTACGACTTTAAGGATCCTGTTATTATTACATGTTGATTTACATTGTTTAATATGATTGCTTGCTTAAACTGATGTTGCTGTTGAGTTTTTCCATCATTACTTCTGGTAGTTTTTACCGTTTTAACTGTTATTTATCATGACTGATCTCAGTGTTTAGTGCAGCTGATCTCTGAGTCCAAGGGAAGTCTATCCTTATGGAGACTAATAAAGACACTTTGACTTTAGGACTGGAGTGTATGGGACTTGTTATCTAGCAACAGATACGGGTTGGGAACTCAATAAATGTACTCAGGTAAGAGTAACACTACCTTAACATATTATTCCTTGAGCTAAATAACAAAGTAACGCAGAAACAAGTCAAGTACAGATTAAATGGTAGTTAACAAACGGATGTAATCAGAAAGACCAAAATGTAACGTTTTATCTGAAGTCTGATACTTTTGGGACTAAAAAATTATTGAACACTATGAAATCCCCAGGTAGAAGAAACATTTCCAGAACGTATGAGACCAGTCATCACTGTAACGGATGTATTTACATCAGTACAGCTAACGGTCAGTAGAGCCGCTAAAGAATTAACTCAAGAAACAGCAGCAATACCTTTTAATATTATAAGATAAATATATCTTATAATATTTGTAAAGTAAAAAGCATGATACAGTAAAACTACTTCTAAAATTGAATGTTTGTCAAAACTTAAGTAAATGTAGGTAATTAGTACTGTCCTTAGACGCATTCTTAGGTTTCTTCCTGTTAAAAGAGAGTTTTTCCTCTCCACTGTCGCTACAAGCATGCTTAGTGTGAGGGATTGCATTCGAGTCAATGAGTCAATACAATCAACTGGTTTTCCTTAGATAGAAAACTTTTAATCAATCTGACTGTATGATCTGGTTGAACTGTAAAGTGCCTTGAGATGACATGTGTTGTGAATTGGCGCTATAGAAATAAACTGAATTGAATTTAAATTTAACTCATGTTTCCAGCCATCATTAAAAGATGCGGGATTATTATTATTAATTGTCTGGCTGTGAAGGGCTGCTGCTAACATGCAGCATTTAAAAGCATCATTTCAGGGACATATTATTATTCCTGTCCACTAAGTTTGTGATTTAATATGGATTAAATTCAAAGTATCTTGATCAGATGAACATTTTAAACTGGGAATATTAAACCTTTCAGAGATTTTTTTCATAGTTTTTATGGTGAAAGCCGCTCCCCTTTAAGGGATCACTGCTTTGAAATGTGGGGAGGATAAAAAATATGTCAAGATCTAAATCAGAGGTTCTCAAAGTGGAGGTCAGGACCCACCAAGTGAGAGGTCACTGGGGTATAAAAAGTCCAGAGTACATAATAAAAAAGATGTAACATTTATTTATCTAAAACATGATTCAAATATCAAACATAAAATTGAATTATAGAATGCACAGTTAAATAATTAAATGTCTCATTAAAGCAATAAAATGACACTTTGAAAGAATGAATGATTAAATGCCTTTAAAAACACACTTAGATGGAATTACTTCACTTTCTGTTCATAAACAAACAAAGAGTGAAATGAAGTGATGTGTTTTCAGGGGTCATGTTCTCTATCAACGTTAGTTTCTGGGTGAAATGTTTGGGGGCCCCTGATCTAAGAAGCGCTCTGCATTTATTCCCATTAGCGTGGAACGGTGTGGTGGATATCAGAATTAGAGAGGTGACCGTCTGAGGATAAGGTAGTATCTGCAGGTCAACCCACCTGTGGAGCAGTACGGGCTGCTGCTGCTGGCGGAAAACAGGTTGAGGAACTTCCTGCTTCTCGGACCTCTTCCTCCATTAGACTCCTCTTCTTCTGAAGTCGTGGCCGACGAGACTTTGGACTGTTTGCAGACCCTGGCAACGGCTACGACTTCCCTCCTTCTCTTCACCTCCTCTTCCCTCCTCCTCTTTAAATCCTCCTCCTTCCTTCTCTTGGCCTCTTCTTCTTCTTTTCTTCTCTTCTCCTCCTCTTTCCTTTGTTTCTCCTCCTCTTTCCTTCTCTCTAGGGTCAGAAAACAGGGGAGGTAAATAGAGAGCACACGGTTAGTTTCATTTCTTGGAGGTGTCAGCTCTTTTCTCATTCTCAGCCCGTAGCACAGGTAAGGCTAGTCTGATCGTCCTACAGCTATGAGTTTCAAAGCATCTGATGGAGGTCCAGCAGATCCTGAAGCAGTTTCTTCCCCACAGCTGAACTGTTGAAAAAACATTAAATAAGCTCACAGCGTCTGCATCAAACTGATAACACCAAACCAAAACACTGAACCCTATGAACTTCCATATCAGTGTGTTTTTTGGCACCATGTCTTTTCGCCCGCAGTGTTTACATTTGATCACTGCTGCACTTTAAATAATGGAAATGTCATGAGAGCTGTACAAAATGAAGTTTTGCCCGTACAGGGCTCAATAACTCAGACCCCTCCTCACTTCAGTGACTGCTTATGAGAATGACACAACACCACAAACCATCTGAACGCCAACGGAGACACCAGGGACTGACAGAAAGAGCATGTAGCTCACCAAGCCTCTTGGCTGGAACAATGGCCAACATAAAGATGCTACCCAGCTCAGAAACAGATACAAGACTATGGCTACCTACTGCAGGGTAATCAACAGATGCATGGTGATGTGGAAGTGCCTCCACCTACACATTAAGGCCCACATCAAGCAGAGACTGGAGAAATAATGGGCAATAGAAATAATGTGCAATAGACAAGAGGGCAATAGACAGTGGGGCCTCAATGCAGGCAGAGGATGGCAGGCATTGGAAGCTGCCCCAGCACTTAGTATGGAGAGCCTGATGCGCCACATCCACGAATAAAAATACATGAATATTTTGAAAGATATTCTTATCTTATTTTATTTGAATTAATCTCAAGATTAATTATTTGTTTCATAATAAAGTTTTACTTTTTTAAGCATTTTATTTTGTAGAGCTACTTAACATATTTTTGGCGACTTATTTTTTTTAAGCATTTTTCTATCCAGCCTCTTTTATTTCTTGTTTATATTCAGATGAGGGGGCGGGGTTTTATCTGCCGCTGTACCGTTCCGACCACACGGTTAACAGCGTCTCTGAAGAAGCCTGAGATACCTCTGTTTTCAGACAATTTAAAGTCGTAGGGAAACGGCTGTTCCAACCGTTGCATTTCCGAATTCTCCGAGTGGTGCAGGACTTTACACGAGTGGATAAAGCGAAGGCACAGACGTCCATCCCCGTGAACAATGGGATGGAACTCAATGGTAAGGTAAATGATTCTTATTTCAACCGCTGCTGCGACCAGGGGCGGATTTACTATTAGGCAAAACTAGGCAGCTGCCTAGGTCCCCAAGTTCGTGGGGGGCCCATAAACCTCCTTTTACATGTATGGTTAATACAGGTATTACTAATTTGTGCACAATTATGTGTTTGATACAAATCCTTTCTCTAAAATGCCATGAGAATGCTTGTTATAGTAAGCCCCCCACCCCACCCCCCACAACCCCCACCCCCACCACATTGGATCAGTCTATTTGCTGCACAACTGCAGCAAAGCAGCAAAGCATTTAAATAACAAACAGTGCCAAGAGTACTTTTGCCAGCTTTGCCCTATGCTTAGGGATGCACGATATTGGGATTTTGGCCGATATCCCATATGCCGATATTTTAAAACTCATGTAGCCGATAACCGATATCGATACCGATGTTAAAGCTGGACAAAAACAAGTAGTCATTGAAAATAGCAGTTTTGTTATCCATTTCTGACACTTTGAAAAATAATATACTCAAATATATTTTCATATGCTGATATCAAATAGATTTTTAAAAACGCGGTATCGATCTATTTTACTTTCAAAATCTTGTGAAATTTCATCGTTCTGTTACAAACTCTCGTGATATTTTGCAAATTCTTGTGAGATTTTGTTAGTAAAATAGATCGATACCGCGTCAATATATCAACATATAAAAATATGGCAAAATTTCGTGAATTTTTGGGGGATTTCGTAGCATAACGATGACATATAGCAATATTTCATTAGTAAAAGAGATTGATATGGTGTTTTTAAATGGCAATATATCAGCATATGAAGATATTGGGATATTTTAATGTATCAATATTTTTTCCCTCGTCTTTAGAAGTTTTTAAGTCTGTAAAAAAGAAGTTTTTGAGGAAGAAGTAGTATTTTTTTTTTTTTTTTTTTAGACTTTAGAAACTCACAAAAAAGCTGATTAAATATCGGGTTAAATATCAGTGGGGTGGCCGATGTCCGATATTCAGTTTTAAGGCCGATACAGGCCGATACCGATAGGGGGCCGATTATATCGTGCATCCCTACCTATGCTCTTTTGTCTCTTTATTTAGCAACTTTTGAGACCCCTCTATCACTTCTTTAAAAAAGTGCTTATTTATAAATAATAAAATTTAAGATAAATTCTGTATCTGTATTATGGGTCTGTTTTATGTGTTGTCTTTTCAATTCAGAGGGCCCTATGCATGTCTTTGCCTAGGGCCCCAAATTTCCTAAATCCACCCCTGGCTGCGACATATGAATACAGATGCTATGACCTGAAAATTTTGACTGACAGAAGACCGTTGATATATGATTGGCCGAATTTAGGTGGTCAGGCTGACGAATAACTAACTGGCCTGCAGAAAATAAAAAATAAAAAACAGATTTTAAGACCGAGTTTTTTTTTTTTTATAAACATTTTCTAAATTTTGGGACAATATCATCTGATAAAGAGTACATTTATATACAATTTTAAGCCAGAATGATTTGACATTTAAATATGACTTCCCTACAACTTTAAACTGAAATATGTTAACTAGTTTACAAAATAAAAGCATAAAAAAATTAAATAAATAAATCTTAAAATAAATTAAAACAAAATAGGATACAAATGTCTTTTAAAATATCTATTTAGTGTTACTTTATGGTGATTTGTTCCTATTTAATACATGTATTAATAACTTATCAATATCAGTATTTATTTATTTAATTTTCAAACGCCTCTCCGTACTGGCGGTGTTCCCCTGATCCACTGCCACAGCGGTTCTATTGGTTGATGAAAGCAGGTCTTTGTTTTTGATCCGGTTACGACAGAATCCGTGACCCGTCACATATTGTGACCCAAGGGGCTCACATTTATTTCTCAACAGACTTCTTTAGGTTTAGGTATAATTCCTGTGAAGTTAGGGTCAGTAGATAACAGACTAATGAGGAGAATCTGTCACAGATAACACCTGAGTCCCAGCATATGGGGTGAACGGGCCGGCCTGTATGAATCTGCTGCAGTCGTCTCTAAAAACTAAAAATTTCTGAGGGGTTTTTCCATCATCACACTTTTAAATCTGTAGTACTGGGAACTCTCCTCAGCTTAGTTTCTATTTGGAAGTAAGAAGCTTTTTTTTTTCCTGGAACAGTTGATCATTAAGGAACCTTTTCTTTAGGAAATCAAAGGACTTCTGTTTATTGTCATTTTCTTAGCAGCCTGTGATACATTTAGGAAACAGAAGCTGCTTCATTTTATTTTTAGTTCCAGTTGAGTTTTTTTTTTTTTTTTCAGGAGGATGCGTTTACCTAATTTCCGTGCTTCCTCGCTCTTCCTCCTCTCCTCCTCATACTCGGGGTCCTCCTCCTCATTGGCTGACTGGTAGACGGTCTCTGTGTCGCTGTCCTCGTTGTGCTCAGAGTGACCATGCAGGCAGTCCTTCAGCTTCCCCAACTCCAGCTGAGCGTGCTCGTCCACCACCAGGGTGTATTTCACCGAGTCATAATTGAGCCCGGCTGCTGCCTCACTCTTCGCCTGGTTCCGGTCCATCTCCACACCCACTTTGTCCCCCCCTGGGCCCGCCTCTGGTTTGTCTGTGCCCGCCATGGAGCAGCTGTGGTGTTTCTGGACGGAAGCACAGGGGGTCGGTTCTCCTTCTCCGTCCTCTTCACGGATGTCTGGGTTGGTTCTGCAGGAAAGAGGTGGCTGCAGAGGCCCCGGAGGGGGCCCCTCTGTATCTGAGCTCAGGGACATCCTGTTTGACCCCCCCTCGCTGCTGGACCGGGACAGAGCAGCAGGAGGGTTCTCCTGGGTTCTATCATGGTTTTGACCTTCAATGAAAAACAATCAGAGTTAAACGCAGAAGCAGCCTCAAGTAAATCATTGCAAACATCTGAGGAGTTCAGACTGACAGCCTTCTGGAGGAACTCATTCATTTCACTCTGTTATGAAAATTTGCTCCTTTTAGCCATTTCGTTATTCCAGCAGTTTCACAGGACGATTAAGAAAAAGGCATTGAAGTCATCAAAAGAACAAAGAACCCATTTTAGGTTCAGGTAAAAACGAAAAATAAATAAATAAAAATGCAAGAGAGGCAGAGCAAAGATTGTTTACAGCCCAGACTTACAGCAGAAAACAGGTTTTCAGGGAGTCAGTTAGACCAACACTGAGTAACCTTTACAAAATACTTTCATAACTTTTGTGATTATATGTTGACTTATAAGCAGGTGATGTCAAACGTCTCCCATTCAATATAAAGACGGAAGTCGCTGATTTAGGGTTTGTTTATGTTAAATATCAATCAGCTGTTTTTTTCTTAGATAAAAACTTTGCATCAGTTTGACTGGATGATCTGGTGAACTGTAAAGTGCCTTGAGATGACGTGTTGTAAATTGGCGCTATAGAAATAAACTGAATTGAATTAAAGATGAACAGAACCGTCTGATCTTCCTCTGGACCTGGAGGCTGAGGGCTCACCTTGGTTCTGGCTCTTCTCCTGGCTTCTGGCTGTTACAGGTGTGCGCGGGACCACCATGGCAGGCAGGTAGACCTCCTGATTGGTCAGCTTGTTGTTGGATTTGATGCCCACTCCTCCTCTGCTGCTCACCTTCGTCCCTCCTCTTCCTCTCCCCTCAGCCGCCCGGCCTCTCGGCCCGTTTCCGTCCCTCTGCCTCTGATGTCCGTTCTTGTCTTTGTCCTTGGCCTTGTCCTCACACAGCCGTCCTCCTCTCCGATCCGTCCCGGTACCTCTCAGCTCTCCCTGATTCTTCTCCCTCATTGCTCCTCGCCCGCCTCCTCTCCCACCTCCTCCACCGCCCCCTCTCCCACCTCCTCCCCCTCCGGCTCTCCTCTGACTCCTGGGCGTGCTGCAGGGCTGCGTGGCTGCAGGCGGCTGCCTTTCTCGTGGTCGAACCCGTGCGTCTGCAGCTGAGGCAGCAGTCTGACCATTGGTTCTGCCGTTTGACCCGCTGGCTGTGGGCGGTTTTGGTGCCGGCCGGCGCTGAGCTGCAGGCCGGACTTTGTCCTCTGCTTTGGGCTGGGCATCCTGAGGAGCTGGGTCTCCTTAAGACGCACAGAGAGGGAAAAAACGTGTTACTCAACCTGCTGAACAGCAAACAGATTAAACACGTATTATAAAGATTAGTCTGGATCTAAATTGTTGGAATTTTTTTGTTTCACATATTGTTGCTAAATTGCAAACTATGAGGTTTACCTGCTTCCTGCCTCAGAGCCTGTAGGGACAGCTGACAAAGGTCTCCTTTGTTAGATTAGTTTAGTCTTTGTTGAAGCACTTTATTATTTTGATCTAAAAATGGTTTTATAAATAAGGTTTACTTCCAACATTAGACAGTTCATGACTTCAAACAGGCCTGAAGTCATAAACATGTTGGTCATCCACCATGTTTTGTGGGATATATAATATATTATATAACATGTTTTTAGCGCCTTCAACGGTGTAAACTAGAATAAGTTACGAGGACTGACAATTTTTAAGTTCGTAAATCACAATTTATGAGAACTTAAATTTTTTATTTTTCAGTCATATCTTAGTTTAATCTTAATATTTCATCAAAACAAATTAAAAACGTTTAGTTCTAGCTTTTAGTTTTATGAACTTTTTTATGTTCCGTAGTTTCTTGTTAAACTTGCACCTTAGGGTCAGGTTGGTTATTTATAACTTTTGGGTGTCGTAAAACCTTCAAAATAAATAAATAATACATTTTCAACATTTTGACAATGATCCTCACTAAAGATGTGTCCAAATATCTGCCCTAATCGCTATACAGTTCCCTATGTAGTGATTAGGCCATTTTAGATGAGTGTCCAACCGTCTAGTGGATGAAAAAGTAGTGGACTCAAAATTTCCCACAATGCATCTTGAAAGGTAGTGATCTAGGGAGTATTAGGGCCAGGCTAGGGATTTTTAAAATGTTCTTATTTCAAGAATAACGTCATAAAATTACTAGAATAAAGTCACAACAAGAATAGTCATAAAACTATGAGAATTAAGTCATAACATTACGAGAATAAAGTCGTAAATTACGAGAATAATGTTGCTACAAGAAAAGTCATAAAATTACGATAATAAAGTTACGAGAAAAGTCATGAAATTACGAGAATAAAGTTGCTATAAGAAAAGTCATAAAATTACCAGAATAAAGTTGTTACGAGAAAAGTCATGAAATTACGAGAATAAAGTTGCTATAAGAAAAGTCATAAAATTACCAGAATAAAGTTGTTACGAGAAAAGTCATGAAATTACGAGAATAAAGTCGTAAAATTACCAGAAGTTGTAAAATTACATGCAAAAAGTTGCTATGACAAAAGTCGTAAAATTATGAAAATAAAGTCATTAAATTACGAGAATAAAGTTTTAAGATCACAAGAATAAAGTTGCTACGAGAAAAGTCATTAAATTACATGAATAAAGTCTTAACATTACGAGAATAAAGTCATAACCTTAGAAGAATAAAGTCGTATTATTACTAAAATAAAATCGTAACATTACAAAAATAAAGTCGTACTATTACTGTGGAGGTTCCTCCATCTATTTCTCCATATCAGTATTAATTTATTCAAAGGTCATCTCACAATACATTTATAATTTCATTCTTTAGTGGTGCTTTTTTTGGCATTAGGTTGTTTACTATTATGGGTGCACACATTTAGTAAACACCTTTTGGTTATTTGAATTATTAACTACTTTTCTTTGCTGAGTTTGAAGGACTGGCTGAGCGGAGAAGGACTGGTTGAAAGGCAAACCAGGAAGTGGAACGTACCACCAGGCTGCTGGAAGCAGGGGACTGGATGTTAGAGTCTGCTTCTCTCTTTCTACTAATGGCATAACTGTTAAAACAGTTTTGGTGTTACTTTGTGTTCTTTTGATAGTTGTGTTGTAGTCAAAAGGTTAGATTGAATTAGTTATTTATGTTTAAGCATTGTTTATCTTTGTCCAATCTCCCACCCCTCCTCGTTTGGGTAGGCTAGCCTTTGTGTATAAATTCCCCTGGGTGTTCATTGTTTGTAGTCAGTTTTTTTGGTTTGTTATCCTGAGTTAGGTATGCCTTAGCTGATTTCCTTTGGGCACATTTTGGTATATTTTTTTAGACTTAATGTAAGTCCTTTTGTGAAGAATTTTTTTGGAAATAAATAGAAAATACTTTTTTTATATGCCATTGTCCTTGTGCCTTACTGGACGGACCACTACAATTACGAAAACAAAGTCGTAACATAACAAGAATAAAGTCGTAATATAATGAGAATAAAGTCGCAATATTATTAGAGTAAAGTCCTTATATTACAATAATAAACATGTTTTTATGACAACTCTTACAGATGATGCTTGACATTTCCTAAAATGAGGAATGTCAAGCATCATCTGAAGTTATGCTTCGGCAATGATCTTTTAGCACACCAGCTTTAAATTGGGCAGTATGTCAAAGTTGACTCAGATTGCTTTTTGGTGGAGCTGGTCGGTCGTCATATGTTGGTCGGAGCTCGAAGCTTTCTTTCTGAAACAGGTTGGCGTATGATATTTATTCTCATTATTTTTCAACTTTATTCTCATATTACAACTTTATTCTCGTAATATCACAACATTATTCTTGTAATATTACAACTTTATACTCTGTCGCAGTAATAATCCATGGTCACTAGGCGGGCAGATATGTTCAGATATATTTATCATGGGATCATGGTGGCGATGAATAACAAAGATGGCGCAGGCACCATGCAGGTAGGCGGAGCTACGTGACCAACCAGGACCGACAAGTAGTAATCATCTGTCCGAACAGTCAGTTTACTGAGTTCACTATAAAGTTCACTATACCCCACTCTATATACTGGTTTAGGCGTTAGGGCTGATGTTCGGACACAGCCTAAATCTAACTGCAGTCATGGTGTTACAGCGTTAGCTCCGCCCACTGACAGCTCCTCATCCAATGAGGTCTTATTGTTCAAATCTGCACCAGTGTTTCCTTATTACAGTTAAGTTGTTAATTGTTGAGCTATTTAAAATAGCAGTATACTCTTCTGCTTTTTCTTGTAGCTTGCGCTCATACTTGACTTTTTTTCTGTTGTTGTTGCTTTTTTCACCAATTTGCCATTTGTGTCTGAGTTGAGCTGGGTGCCTCAGGAAATCAGGCTACAGGCTTATCGATGCATCGGCATCAATCTTCCCATCAAATGATGTTTAGTCAGAAAGGTTCAAATAAAAAAGGCTATTGTGAAGATACCTTTCAATAAAAACGTACAAAATGTCTTTTTAATTAATATGCCAATAATTCAAATCACTCTGATGATTTGTGTTAAATGTACCCTAAAAAACTTTACATTAACTGAACACATTCAGCAGTAATTTTACAAAATAATGACTCGACTTTTCATGCCATTTAATTATTTTAAACATTAAGGTTTACAGTGCTATGTGACAAGTTTGTTGCATGCACCATTGGCCAGTTTGGGTTTTTGCATTCGTGTACCTCTGATGGGTTTATTTGACATGTAACATGTTCTTTAGCACCTGGAACATGTTTATTGCATCAGTTGCAAAAAAAAAAAAAATTGTTGCCTATGTGCCATGTTTGTAGTCCCGGCAATGTTTCATTGCACATGTAACATGTTTATTTCTAGCCTGGCCATCCACACTAATGCGCTGTGTATACATAGTTTCAGGCTCGTAGCAGGCAGGTCTAACAGAGTCAGCATCATTTGGTTAGAACCAATCAGGTAAGTATGGATGTGATGTAAAAACTCCAAGTGACGCACTCTGTTTTTGTAATTTCGTAGTCTATAAAACATGGCAAGCCTTTGGATGAGCATTTGGGCCACTGAAAAATTGTTTTAAAAAGTTAACTTTTTAAATTTTATTTCAGTATAATATGAGAAAAAATGTCAGAATTCTGACTTTAATCTCAGAATTCAGACTTTTTTCTCAGAATTCTGACTTTTTTCTCACAATTCTGATTTTCATCTCAGAACTTTGGATCTTAATGTGTATGGGCAACATGAAGGAAGAGATGTGGTGACTTTTTACATGCCCGTGGGGTGAAGCTATTTCATTAATGGAAGAGCAGAAGGTGATTAAAACAAGAGAGCTAGTTTAGTCTTTAAAACAGACATGGCTATGGCTTAAATCTAACATGTTTGTAGGCTGTCAGAATTCAGAGAAAAAAGATAAAAAAAAAGATTAAAGTCAGAATTCTGACTTTTTCCTCATGTTATACTGAAATAAAATTTTAAAATCAGTTAACTTTTTTTTATTTTTTTCAGTGGCCCTAATCCTCTTCCGTACAAGCCAAAGAAGAAACTCTCCACTGAACGTTTTCTGCAGGTTTTGCCTCAAAAAAATCTGACGATATTAAGTGTGCTCTCTATTACGTTCTTAATTTTAATCGTAACATTGCTCCGTTGAGGTCACCAGCTTGTTATGCTAGCAGAAGAGCACTGCTGCATTATGGGTAACTCTGCCGATGAGAGTGATGCATCGTAAAATCCCGTCTGATGTGTTGTTCTCCAGCTGTCACATTTTGGAAGTGACACTCTGGACATGCTTCTTGCACCTATACCTTGAGTTTTTTGTGTCATAATTTGCTGTACTTCTGAATGGTTTGTGGCATATCATGTTGCCCGTTTGTTGCATTTGTGAAGTTTTTATTGCAGGTGTGACGTGTTTGTCGTACCGGTGATGTGTGGGGAGGAGGAATGGGAGTCCTTCCAGCTGTCCTTTTTACCCAAAGAGTTGTTGTTGATGGAGTCCTGCAAAGAGATGAAAAGAAAATTATTGGAGGAAGCATCCAACAGTCCATCCTGATGGAGAAGAATCTTTAGAATCTGTGAGGTCCTGATCTACTCAGAACCAGCAGATGTCCACATTACCCATCCTATCATTGAACGCACTCACGCCTTGTAACCATGGTTACCGTATGAACTGTGAGAAGCAGTTTTTCTGATCCACACATCTAAAAATAAACTGATTACTGACTTTCATCATAAAGATCTGCTGATTTTAAATACCATATTTGGTTCATCCCTTTAAGCTCGTTTAGTTTCTCAAAAACTGAAATTAGAACGTTTCTTTTGTTTTTTTTCTTAATCGACATTCTACTTTCTGCTTCGCTAATATTCATGGTCTGAAATCTTTTGTATTAACTATGGATTCTTAAAACTCTGTCCCACAAAGCCATAAAACGAATAAAAGAAAAAGTGAAATAGTCATGTTTTAGAAATGAAGTTAGCCAAAGACCTCTGAAGCTGCAGATCCCTGATCTAATGTAAATGGATTCTTTCTCAAAATGGCTGAAGCTTCATTTTTGTTTTGTTTTGTTTTTTTGAGTTTTTATGGCACTAGTGGCTTGTTTTTATTAATGGACAGTAGGCTAACAGGAAAGGGAGAGAGACATGCAAAAGATATCTGGGACATGAGGAAGACATCCGGTGAGACGCAGGTCGGATTCGAACCCAGGTCGCCCGCGTCGAGGACTAAGTCCTCCGTAAATGGCATGCCCCCAAAGCTTAATTTTTTAAATCATTATTAAGGTAAAACTGTAAATTGGTCAAAGAGGAGAATATGTTACTGTTTCTGTGCCAGATAATACATCATTAGCAACTGATTAGTTCTTCAGTAGCGGGGCCATAACCACTGCTGTGAACATTAGGTATATAAAAAGTATTCAATTAAAGCTAACAAGTTTGATCAAAAATAGTAACTAAGTCAGTAAATTAGTGTCAATGAATTTAATTTTTTACTAGGCAAGGTAACTGTGCAGTCATATTTTATGATCTTAAATGTAAATGACTCTGGATGTATTTCCCTGTCTGTAACAGGGCCACTAGCAATCCTATAGGCCTGGATCATTACTACAGTGGCCAACAGCATTTCTACAGGGACCAGGACCTATTCTACAGGAACAGTGTTAAGGGGCCAAGTACAGTTTTATAGGGGCCAGGGTCAATTCTATGGGGCCCAGAGCAGTTAAGTAGGGGTCAAAAGTAGTTCTACGTAGGCCAGGAGCAGTTCTATAGGGGCTAACAGCAGTTCTACAGGGGCCAGGAGCAATTCTATAGGGACCAACAGCAGTTCTACAGGGGCCAGGAGCAGTTCTACAGGGCCAAATGCAGTTCTATAGGGGCCAGGATCAATTCTATAGGGCCTAGAGCAGTTATACAGGTGTCAAAAGTAGTTCTACGTAGGCCAGGAGCAGTTCTATAGGGGCTAACAGCAGTTCTACAGGGGCCAGGAGCAATTCTATAGGGACCAACAGCAGTTCTACAGGGGCCAGGAGCAGTTCTACAGGGCCAAATGCAGTTCTATAGGGGCCAGGATCAATTCTATAGGGCCTAGAGCAGTTATACAGGTGTCAAAAGTAGTTCTACGTAGGCCAGGAGCAGTCCTTTAGGGACCAACAGCAGTTCTACAGGGGCCAGGAGCAGTTGTATAGGGGCCAACAGCAGTTCAATAGGACCCAGGAGCAGTTCTACAGGGGCCAGGAGCAATTCTAAGGGGACAATAGTAGTTCTACAGGAGCCAGGGGAAGTTTTATAGGGGCCAGGATAAATTCTATGGGGCCCAGAGCAGTTAAGTAGGGGTCAAAAGTAGTTCTACGTAGGCCAGGAGCAGTTCTATAGGGGCTAACAGCAGTTCTACAGGGGCCAGGAGCAATTCTATAGGGACCAACAGCAGTTCTACAGGGGCCAGGAGCAGTTCTACAGGGCCAAATGCAGTTCTATAGGGGCCAGAATAAATTCTATGGGGCCCAGAGCAGTTAAGTAGGGGTCAAAAGTAGTTCTACGTAGGCCAGGAGCAGTTCTATAGGGGCCAGGATCAATTCTATGGGGCCTAGACCAGTTATACAGGTGTCAAAAGTAGTTCTACGTAGGCCAGGAGCAGTTCTATAGGGGCTAACAGCAGTTCTACATAGGCCAGGAGCAGTCCTTTAGGGACCAACAGCAGTTCTACAGGGGCCAGGAGCAGTTGTATAGGGGCCAACAGCAGTTCAATAGGACCCAGGAGCAGTTCTACAGGAGCCAGGAGCAATTCTAAGGGGACAATAGTAGTTCTACAGGAGCCAGGGGCAGTTTTATAGGGCCAAATGCAGTTCTATAGGGGCCAGGATCAATTCTATGGGGCCCAGAGCAATTATATAGGGGTCAAAAGTAGTTCTACATAGGGCCAACAGCAGTTCTACAGGGGCCAGAAGCAGTTGTATAGGGGCTAACAACAGTTCTACAGGGGCCAGGAGCAGTTCTAAGGGGACAATAGTAGTTCTACAGGAGCCAGGGGCAGTTTTTTTGGAGCCAGGATAAATTCTAAGGGTCCAAGAGCAGTTCTATAGGGGTTAAGAGCAGTTCTACATGGGCCAGGAGCAGTTCCATAGGGTTAAGGAGCAGCTCAATAGGGGACAAGAGCAGTTATGGCCCTCCAAGTAACTGTGTCACACATTCTGGTAACACATATACTTAACTTGCTAATCACGTATCCAAATATTGAAATTCTCCTAAAAAGATGTAAGAATTTGATGGAGACGATAATCCAGGAAGTTTATTCCTATCTGATCTGAACCTCTTTCAAACAGTACCAGACAATTCCAAGTTTTTAATATTTGTTAATATTCAATAATTTGGTCCTTTTTAGTCTAAGTCATAAAAGGGACATGAAAATTACACAGTGAACTGATTCCAGATGCTTCTGGGCTCCTAAACGTGTTGAATGATTGTGAGTGATGTGTTTCTGGATCTAAAAATGCAAGAGCGACAGTAAAGATCATTCCTATTATGAGAAGATGGGAGATTGCAGAACTCCAGAGCCTGTTTTTTTCCCTCCAGTCTTCCTCTTGAAGGCATAGAAGTTGATGTGAAAATGTAGAAATCAAAGTTTAAAAGGCTGATCTTTATGACCAGCCTCCTCCTGGATGCACAAATCACCACATATTTTTAGCCCTGTGTTACTGACTGGCAGCAGCTGTAAACCCGATCCAATTCACCTCCAGTTGACAGACAGAACCGATGCAGAACTCTACAGTCTTTTACCACGCAGAATAAGAACCATTCGGGTTCTCTGGTTGAATAAAGCTCTTGTTGTTTTTTTACAGCTGAGCCAAGCAGCCACCCATCATTCCTTTAGCTCACTCTGTCTCATCCTGTTTCTCTAAAAAAAAAAATGTCCACAATCATTCCTTATAATTTCTCTCATGGTTTATGCAGTGATCTCTCTCCTCTGTACTGAAGTTTGAAGAACAACAGAAAACCAAATTTAGGAAGGAAACACTGTGGTTTGAGTTTTCCAAACAAAATGGTCAAATATTGATGGAAAATAATAGAAAACAGGAAGGGAGGACTTTCTGTTTCCTTAAAGCGAAAATAGCTTTATTTCCTACTATTTCAGTATTTCTTACATTTTAAAAATCTCTATGACATTCATTCACAATTTTCCAACTTTTCACAAAAGGTACTTTTTTGGACTTATTCAATACATCCTTAAATACACAAATGTACTACTAAATTATGAAATGTACAATTTCATAATTAAATTACTTATAAATTGACATTAAATAAATGTCATTAAAAATAAATGTAGGATGAAAAGAAATCGTTAATAAGTTAAAGTAAATATCCGAAAGTAAAAGGTTGTCATATGTAAGGATATTCAGGATTTCTAAATATTCTGAGGTTCTTTTGCAAATGTAAAAGTAAAGGTAACAGAGCATCAAGCTTATGGCTTCCTTACTCAGGGAACTATGATAAATATACATTTTATTATTTTTGTTCTATATTTATTAGATGAGGATAGTTGTGCATCAGATTAATTATAAAATTATTTAATCGCTCAACTTAACCAATCAGGCAGGTTTCCATAGAGAGCTTTACATCTGATTGGCTGCTTCACATTAAGAAAGATGAGACAAATTCTTAATGTTTTGCTTTGACTCTGAGGTCAATATTTTTGTTGGAAGGTGCAGAAATAACTTCAATACTGCATAGCAATTTTATTAGTGCACAATGAGTGAGCAACTCCAGCAGATATATTCCTAGTTTAGTCTGAAATATATCCAATATGTTTAACAAAGATCAGCCATTGTTAGATGGTGGGCGGGGCTAATGTCTGTGGCAGCTTTCTCCATGCTGGACCATATTGGCTCTTCGTGTCCCTTTAACTCTCAACCATCTTAAGGATGGTTGAGAGTTAAAGGGACAGAGATCGATGGCCTGGGTTCGAGACTGACAGACATTCAGCTCACCACTCTCACAGGAATGTATGGAGTGAATGCTGTTCCTTTATTGCTGCAGAATATTGTAAATAAAAAAAATTGTAAGTGGATTTACAAAATAAATTTTTTTTTTTTATAATTAAGGGCAGAAAAAAATGCAACCCATAAAAAAAACGTAGTGTTTTTATAAAAAAACTAAGTTTTAAGAGTAGCTTTGCTGATTTTCCATTACATTTGAATAATCTCTTTTTTATACATATCTTATATTTTCAGATTTATTTTTTTATGTTTGTTTTTTTAGATCAAGTTTAACTAATTTAATTATTTTCAAATAGCATTTTTCAAATCATATTCTGTTCACTTCTGGGGGCAGGCTTTCCTTTGGAGTGAGGAATTTCTATTGGTCTGCAGGATGTTAGCAAAAACATTGTATTGTGTGAGCGTTTGGGTTGGGCTGGGATTGATTGAGATTTGCGAAACGCAATTAAAAAAGAACATAATTCATAAAACTCAATTTGAAAAATATCAGAGAAAATAAAAATTTTCAAATTA